ACTGGCAGTTCATGAGTTGGAACTAGCCTGCTAGACTGGAACTAGAGAACTTGAAAAGGGTTGTGGTGTGGGAAAAAACAACGTGCTGGCTGAGTTTCCAAACGAAGCGACCGTTGGACCCCCTTTTCCATTTCAATAATGACTGGATTTTTGGGCTTTCATAAGGCTCGGCGAAAGACAACCAACACCTCCGATTTTTCCTAATTTGGTTAGGAGTTATTGGGGCTGACTACGAATGAGAGGCCGGGGTCGGGAGATCGGGTACACCGGAGGATATGTGGGGGGCCATGATCCATAATTATACATAATACGAGTACGGGGACTCGTAGCCTTTGTTTAGAGATGGCTTCTTCATTTCCGATCAAGTGTCTTACCGAGACTTGAAATACTATTCGAACCAGTCAAGTAGTAGTTAGTTACTAGATACAAAGTGCGGGAGGACCCGGGCTGACCTCTTGAATATGCCCAGGTTAAGACTTAAAGTTAGTAGTAGATTTGAACCAAAGTCAGATGCAACATCCGCCCAAAAAGCGTTTTAGGTTTGTCAACACGACTTGAGTAATGAATTTGTCAAATGAGGATTCTCTATTATGCCGCGGTGGGACATCTTCACCTAGTCGCCGGAATTAATCGCTAGAAGGAACATAATCCAAAAATACAAAAGTCTGCCATACACATCCAACGGGTCGCCGTCTCTCAACATGAACTAACCCAGTCAAAACTTAATAAGTCTTCTTAACCCCTGAGAAACCGAGCCGGACGAAGACCGACTGACACGGTTAAAACACTGGCGCCGCCAGTTGTCTTGTGCCACCCAATATCCCGAGGATCGATGGGCTGTACCCAGAACCGGTCGCCAAAATTCATGCTTGCCGTGGAATTCGGGTGTTTCAAACCTCATTCCCCCTTGAAGCAAATGTTTATTGCTGATTTGGGTCATTTTTCTAGCAGTCTCGTATAAGACATCCTCCAGGTAAATTTGAAGTCGTCGAAACTGAAGACTCATTTTGGGTATGAGATTATCGAAGACCGCCAGCGCTCGTTGTGTAGGCTCTTGACTCGACAAATCAATGATTTTCACATCTAACACTTGTAGGTTTTGAAATAACCCCGAGCCAACAATTGAGGCTATCAGCTCAAGCTCTCCAACACTAGAAGCATGGGTTGATCTGTTAACAACACCATGATGATCATCGAAGTCGATTCCCACTGGATTAAGGATTAATCCTTTCATGCAGGCAAGATTGTGGCGAGAAACTAGCTGAGTAAAGTCTTGGAGAGGAGCCTTCCCTGCGAAATGGAACGTGTTCGAATAAAGTACCTCTACTGCTTCAACGTAACTGCGATATGAACTTGAAGTCAGTAAAATATAGGGTTATGAGCCTTATATTTTGGTCACATACGCTTGTCGGCAGCTTAGTAGCCAGCCCATCACACCAATTGACGTCATTTTCGACGGCGTAGTTTGATCGATAATAAAATGGGCACCGTTGATATCGGTACACAAGTTATTTTCCAAATGACCCGATTTTGGGTGATTGCAAGCACTTCCCCACCATAATCTGTCGTGACATCTCGCCATGTTTGATGGTAACTCTTTGATCTGAGTGCTTGCTGCATCCCGCGATTCACCTTTGATTCTCCAACAGTCGGCTACACATATATGCAAGTTGACATGGAAAACCCGATCGCCAAATGCCTGCTGGTAAATCTGAGTCCTGATTTCCGCTGGTAGCTTGGCGAAAAAGCGACTCCTGGCGCTGGGCGCTTGTCGATATCCCCAAGCTAGAGCCGTCAAAGGGCGCGCCTTTGTTGGAAGCTGCGCATTCTGCGAAGAACAACTCGTTTCCATTTGCTCTGAAGTTGTGTCTGTCATAATTTTCACGTCTTCTGCTGGGGTTGAAAAGCTGTAAAGCTGAAGAAAAGAAATATCAGCTGAAGGTCGAATAAACAATTTAGGCGCGATGCCCGTCCCCACATTTAGACATCAAACATCGTGCTGGCTCCAATCAAGTGTCGGTCAGGAATGGTGCCTGGAAGTGATAGATCGAAAAGCCACTAAGCCCACCGTACTATAATGAAGATCATAGATCACACGGAAAGTGGGTTTGGACTTTCTTTAATAAGCGAGTATAACAAATGTACCGAAAAAAACCCATACCTTATCACCGAAAATCCCTCAAATAAGGCATCAAACAATTGATTCGCATGATTTCTCCTCTACCGTGACGGTCCTTCTTGTACTCAAGTCCGATCGATGCGCCCACGAGTAGAATGTAGTGAAGACAAGGACATGCAAAGCATGCGGCCTGTAAAAGCGTTCACCACATATCATCCAACGTCCAGTTTTTTGAGCTAAATCTCACCTCGGTGAAACGAGGCTGTAGCCCTGGAGACCGCTTTTTGTTCCACATTTATAGTTTAATATCGGCCCATCAATTTACTAATTTCTTACTACGCGGAAAAAGCCTTGGTAAATTTTCGAGAGTACTATCCGGTACGACTGGATTTTTCAAAAAAAAAAAGTCTATTTATATCTTGTTATTTTCCAAATCCAGAACGAGCTTTCGCACAAATAACCCAACCTCATCTATATGAACGCCAAGCCATTCTTGAAACCCATAGTCTCTAGTGTTGTCACTTTCAAAACTTTGAAGGGATGATTCTCCCTCAGGACCAAAGCGCATAAATCGTTGCTCTTTGGAATAGGGCTCCCAGGGCTGCTGACCATGCGCAAAAGCTGTCCAGATTCTAGCAGCTTCCCTTGAGACATTTTGTGTAGAAGGTGGGCAAATATCCAATTCGTTCAAATGCAAAAGCATTGCACACAAGCCGTGATATGAGAGACCACGGGTTGGTCCTGGGAAGGGAGAAGGTTCCTCGAAATGATAGAGGTAGACATTGTCTCTCCAAGTCTCCGAATTTTGAGAGGAATTGGCAATGCCGAGATGGGAGTAGTTAAATAGCGTATTACCGACAAGTAACCTGAAAGCCTTGCGGAAGTGTTCTTCCGATTGGGGATCGCGACTAAATCCAAATTTGGAATAGAGCTCCTGGGCAAGCTGCGAAGAGAACGAGTCATTCACCAATTGCTGGAAGCGCTCTTGCGGTAGACGTTTAATCAAGCCGTCGAAAATGATCGCCTCAATGTTTGTATCTCCAATAATGAATTCTTTGCAACGCGTATTTGGGGCATTGTCTTCATATTTCCAGTTTTCCTTCAAGAGCTTGCCATCTGCGACCGGCCCCATGACGCCTGGGCTTGAAAGCTTGAGAATGTCAGACACCTCCAGCTGGCGAAGCTGCTCTAGCCGCTCCTGGGGAGATGATGCGCCAATGCCTGCATTGTTGCAAAGGGTGCTCCACTCGTTTTGATACCACTCCATGGGTAGAGGGCTCAATACGGGTGCTGCGCCGGACATCATGATGGCTCTATCAAATAGCGCATGCTCTGCAAGTAGGTGCAGGTGAATGCTGACGCTACCTGCGCTCACCCCAAAGACTGTAATATTTGACGGGTCACCTCCGAAATCTTGAATGTGGCGATTTACCCATTCGAGAGCGTTGCGTTGGTCAATAAGACCATAATTTCCAACGGGACACGTCTCGCTCCCGCCGTTGACCTCTTCCGCGAGATCTTGGGAAGCTGAAAATCCCAACGCGCCTAGGCGATAGTTTATTGAAACCAGGATGACGGGCGTATTGTTATTGCGCGCGTGTGCAACGAGCGCTTGTGGACGGTACCGCGAGACTGAATTTGCGCCGAAGGCGAAACCACCCCTTCAAGCGGAATCCTGTTAGTTGACCTCGATCATAAAAAGAAGGGTTGGAAGAAACGTACCCATGAATCCATACCATCACTGGGAGGGACTTCGGCCCTTGGACTCCTAGCGATTCTTTCGGAACGGCAATATTGAGGTTGAGACATTTGAATTCGTCATCACCAGGAAGGGGATCGTTTGTTCCTCCTGAGACAAGAACCATTCCACTAAGCTGGCTACAGCGGTATCCGAGCCGAGTGGCATCAAAGGGGCTCTCGAGCTTGTTTCTCGTCTCGCTGTGCGTCCATCGTTTGGTCAATGTCGCATAAGGAATTCCTCGAAATAGCGCAATATTCTGGTCATTATCCAAAGTTCCTACCAACTCCGAGCCAAGAGATGGCGCAACAAGAGAAATTTTGTCATGCTCTGCCATTTTAGCAAACGATCTTGGAATTTGATCATTTGGGAAAGCACGGCAGGGTAGTTGATGCAGAAGTTATAAAAGCTGTCGGATAAACCGGGCTGCGGGGTCGTTGAGTGGAGAGAAAATGGTTTAGCCGCGGGCTAAGCTTTCTTCTGAGAGCTGATCCTGCTTTGTTGTTCCAATTCTACAGCCCTGCGTCTGGAGATCTGAAAAATTGCTCCACTATAACCTCAATTACTATTTCGTCCTCTGCTCTTTTCGTCTGTAATTATTCATCTCGCGATGGCCACAATACCCGATGGCAGCGAAAGATGTCAATATTCGAGGGTGAACTCTTTCCCCCTTTACTTTGACCCCGTGGTAATTCCGAGGCCATTAGCGAGCAAAAAGCCGAAGCCACTACCGGTGGCAGACTTTAGTTAGACTAAATCGTTTTAGCGTCAACGATATCGATCTAGACTGGAGTCCGGGGCCCCGGATACCTGCATGTCGGGTAATTTTCGGTTCCAGCCCCAGCCCAAAAGGCGGGGGAGGCCAACGATTGGGGAGTGATAAGCGAGCTATGCTAGCCTCATCGAGTTACTTCTATAGCCATGTTGCTTGTATATAGGGCGGTTAATCGGTATGCCGCTATGGAGATGCAAGTAGAATGGAGCCCGAATTGCTTTCAGTAGTTCGTAGATATAGCCCCTCTTTTTGACCCGGCAGTTAAATGCACGGCAGTTTCTCTGAGTCTCCGGGGAAATCCCCAGATTCTTCACGTTCCCCACACGATATTCTCAATTCAAAGCTACCCTTGGGTTTCGAGCCAAGCCATGCCTACCGATACGCGCAAGGATGGCCTGGAAGCCATTGAGATGGAGAATGCACCAGCTCCCCGACCAGTATTTCTTGCAGAAAAGTTGCAGGGGGAGATGAGGCTTTGGAAATTCTTCAGACCGAATTCGTGGAGTATTCTCCTGAGGAAGAAAGGAGTTTGAGATGGAAGATAGACTTGCGTTTGGTGACTATCATGTTGATTGTCAATGGAATCCAATTTGTTGACAAGCTTGTGAGTATATGGCCGATCATCATGAACGCTTGACGCTAACCTATGGCCAGACGATCAGTTACGCGGCGACATATGGCATCGTCACTGAGGCACATCTGGTGGGACAGGAGTATAGTCTTCTTATAACCATTTTCTACATCGGCTATCTTGTAAGTCTCAAAGAGAGATGAGATCTCCTGCTTTACACTTTGTTGTATGGCCAAATGAATTATTCCTAAGCCGTTGAGAAACAATAGGTTGCGCAGTACCCTACCAACTACCTTATGCAAAGGTTTCCGACTGGAAAATACTTGACGGTCAACTTCATACTATGGGGTATGTTCTTACAAGCAACACTGAGTGTGAAGATTATTCTGATGAATCATCCATAGGCGTCGTTCTGGCAGCTACTGGTAGTGCAACGAACTTCTCCTCGTTAGCAGCAGCTCGATTTTTCTTAGGTGTTTTCGAGTCATGCCTGAATCCCGGCTTTGTTTTGATCTCATCTTCTTGGTGGAAGCGTGAAGAACAGGCTTCCCGTATCGGTCTTTGGTATAGTGCAAATGGACTTGCCTCGATTCCGGCGGGTGTTCTTTTCTGGGCAATCGCTCACATTGATGTAAGTTCGACCCCAAGTCCCTTATGGTTGATATACTAATCCAATGGTTAGGTCGATAATATGTTTCCCTACCAATGGATGTTCATTATATTCGGCGCATTGACTGTCCTAGTCGGTTCCGGTCTATGGTGGCTGCTTCCTGATAGCCCCATAAAATGCACATGGCTCAGCGAACGTGAGCGAATCATTGCGGTGCAACGCCTAAAGGACAACAGAACCGGTGTCAAGAACAGCGAGCATAAGAAAGATCAAGTCATTGAGGCACTCACTGACTATCGTGTGTGGATGCTACTGCTAGCTGTCTTCTGTCACAATATGACGAACAGCTTGCAAACAAATTTTACCGGAATAATTATCAAAGGATTTGGCTACACCACCTACCAGGCTGTTTTGTTGCAAATTCCGGTCGGCGCCGTCATGGCGGTGTCGATCATTATCGTCGGTTTCTTCCTCTCATCCAAATATGGCCAGGGCAAACTGATATTGACCATGGCCTGCTGCTACATCCCGGGCATCATCGCGTGTGGAATGCTCTACGGAATTCCCGTGAACTCTTCCACCCTGGGAGCTCACCTAGCCGCCATATATTTGATTCCATTGGTCGCTTCAGTGGGAGGCTTGATGTATACTGTGTTGGCGTCCAATATTGCGGGATATACCAAGAAGACTGTGACAGGAACATTATTCTTTTCTGCATACTGCGTGGCAAATATAATTTCGCCCCAGACATTTCTCTCGTCTGAAGCACCCAAATATACCACCGGTGTCTTCGTGACCTTGGCTGCTTTCATCATCAACATCATCCTCTTCTCGATACTATATATCGTCTACACCAGAGATAATGCAGCCCGGGTCCGTGAAAATGAGGCAGCTGGGCATATGGATGATGCAAGCGATTTGGCCAACGCCTTTTCCGATCTGACAGACCGACAAAACAGAATGTTGCTTTACAGAGTCTAAGCGGAAGATCGGAAATTACGGATTGAGAATCACAACTTTATTGATTTGGCGTGAAATGTGACTAGTATATTTAAGCAATCATTACGGGTGTCCCAGTTAAAGCAGTGTCGGGATATTGATTTGCAGCTAGCCGTTGATCTCCATCAAATGCAGCCGCATTATCTCGTTCGAACCTCTCTCGTGTCGAAGCCGGTAGCTCGAAGTGCTTAGTGATGTCCATATAGTCTTTAAAGTCTTGTCCATAAGGCTCATTCAATATGTTTACTGTCGCACGTGGGCTAACAGGCTGAGTTATGGGGTCAAGTTGTTCTATGAGAAATGTTAGCCATGTACATCCATTCTAGTTGAGTTTTGTCATAACTTTAAGAAGATGTATTTACCTGGACTGAAGCTAGCTTCGAGTAAAAGATGAGGCTGGCCTTGGCGATCTCCTTCCTCTTCTTTCTCCCCCTTGCCGCGAAGATCCCATCGCCGTTTCGAAGGGGGTGGAATGAACTCCTTGACGGGCTTCTCTGCCCCATTGTACCGACCTCTAGAAGCGATGCCGGCACCCCATCGAAGTCGAATTTCATAGCCTTCGCATGTGAGTCCCCGTGTAATGCATTTTTGACAACCGGGTCGAGCCTCGTCGCATTGAATGCGTTTCTTTTTTGCAAGTCCAACAACCTCTGTGCGAGCGGTGGCGGGAGCTGGCCGAGTCTTTTCTCTTATTATCTGAGGACGCCATCGTTGGAAGATGCAGGGAAAGGAATGAACGGAATTCTGGTGCGACCGAAGGTTCGATCACTCATGCTGTTCATATAGGTTCTTTGCGATGTATAGCACCACGAGCTGCACGGGCGCTGATTGGTGAATCAATCTTCTCAAATGTGAACAAATAACGCGCTCTAGTCCTTCTTAGGGAATACGTCCCGGTTAAGTTGCAATGGAGAAGATTATATTTGGCCCTCAAATTCCCTCGCAATCATCAACTATTTTTTGAGTCGACATGTCCTCACGTCTCCTTCCCCCCGTCACGTTATAACTAGTCCTTCCCCAGTCGGTCCGAGTTGAGCTTCGGACCTCCCCCCAGAGTGGAGACATCAGCACCTTTTTTGCCTCAAACCATTTCCGGCAGGTACAAGCAAGCGCTATCGGTCGCCAAAATGGCCCACCGTTGACATGCAGATTAGGCATATGTTTTGTGTCATATCCTACCGGGGTACCTTGGTATTCCAGGCTAAATTGAATCGGGTAGGTCAAAACGCATCTGAGCCTCCCGAACCGAAGCGCGAACCTTCTTTTCGCCTGCAACTACTATGAAGATGATATTGTGTGGGACTCGCCACATCGGAAACCGCGAATTGAACCGTGGATGTGCCGGTGTGTCAAGGATTCGGGAGAAACAGCCATTCGCGCTCCGTGGGGTCTCTCCACGGGGAACCCGGCCTTCGTGACGAGATCCATCGATGCCGGAGATCGTCATCCTGGATGATTTCATTCAAGAAAATGCACCGCCAGGCACCCGCATCTACCTTCCCCTCTAGGAAGATCCAGCCTGCGCAAAGCTTTGGTGGAGATATTTGTCGTGGATGTGCTGAAGAAATGCCGATGCCTTTTCGCCTACTCCGTATTCTCCAAGACGTAACCAGGTTCTCACAGCGCCAAGTGGGCCAGTCTCGGTGAAGTCAGGGCCAACTTCGAGGGGTAGAACCACACAACCCGAGACCCGTGGGGTTCCCCAGAAAAAAAAAGAGAAACCCCCGGGTCGTTGGGGAATGGGGTTGGTTATCCCCGCTGTCTATATCCTATATCCTCCTCCAGAAATCTCGATCACGAACCTCCAGACCGAGCATATTCTTGTTGTAGTATCCAACCTTCGACGAGAATACCCGACCACGCCATATATCGACATACGGAAATGACCCCCATCTATTTTATCTGAGACGCTTAACATCGTTACACTCGACCTAGTTATGGACGTGGAATCCGAAACCTGGAAACCGACTGAGCAACAAATCCAAGATGCACAGGATCTTGCAGAATTTGGCCATGGCCAGACTCTTGAACGAAAGTTCAACCTCTGGAGCATGCTAGCCCTTGCATTCTGCGTTCTGGGAACCTGGTCAACCTTCGCACAAGATCTGTCCGATGGTCTCATCAATGGCGGGCCTGTCTCCATCCTTTGGGGCCTTGCCTTGGTGACCTTCTGCAACACGTGTGTGGCAATCTCTCTAGGAGAAATTTGCAGCAGCATGCCAACAGCATTGGGTCAGGCTTACTGGATCTACCGCTTATGGAGTACCCCCTTGGGTCGGTTCGCCTCCTATATCTGCGCCTGGATCAATGTCTTTGGATGGTGGACTCTTGCCGCATCCCAAGTTGCATTCATGACGAACTTCATTCTTGGCATGAAGGTCATGTTTGATGAAGATTGGACTGGGGCATCTCAGGGCTGGTTAGAGTTCGTTGTTTATATTGGATGCGTTTTTATCCTGACCTTGATCAATGTCGTGGGATGTCGGCGAGACAAGTTCCTCCCCTGGCTCAATAATTTTGTTGGAATCTGGTTCTTTGGACTATTCTTCGTCTTCTGCCTTGCTCTTCTTATTTCCGTCGGCATCAAAAGAGGCCTGTCTTTCCAGCCTGCTTCTTTCGTCTTCGGAAAGTGGATCAACGAGACAGGCTGGTCAGATGGAGTTGTGTGGTTTATGGGACTGGTCCAAGCAGCGTACGTACAAACATCTCTCCATCGTTTCCTAACCTCATCCCACCCGACTAACAATGAAACAGTTATGGTCTCACTGCTTTTGATGCTGTCATCCACATGGTGGAGGAGATTCCTGCGCCGCGAAAGAATGCCCCCAAGGTCATCTATTTTGCCGTCATCTCAGGTGCGGTCAGTGGATTCATCTTGATGATGGTCTGCCTGTTCTGCATTCAGGAGGTGAGAAGCGTCATTGACGCACCAAGTGGCTTACCGTTCATGTCGCTGGTTCAGGAAACTGTGGGCCTGAACGGAGCTGCTGTGCTCATTGCACTCTTCATTATGAACGGTCTTGGCCAGAGCGTCAGTATCGTGACTACTGCATCTCGCCTTACATGGGGATTTGCGCGTGACGGTGGCCTGCCATTCAGTCGATACCTCTGCCATGTTGATCCCATCTGGAAGGCCCCTGTTCGCGCTCTATGGTTCCAAGGAGTCTTGATCGCTCTGGTCGGCATTCTTTTCCTTTTCGCCGAGACCGTCTTGAATGCGATTTTGAGCGTTAGCACCATCGCCTTGACCATTTCCTACGGCCTGCCTATCCTGACCGTGCTTGTGGTTGGACGCGATAAACTTCCGCCAGGAGGAGAATTTCGTCTTGGAAAGATTGGCGTCCCAGCTTATTGTGTCAGTTTGGTTTACTGTGCCATTACCTCAGTTTTCTTCTTCTTCCCAACCGTTCCGAACCCGAAGGGTGGAGATATGAACTACGCCATCGCTGTCTTTGGTGTGATGCTGGTGATTGCGATGTCATTCTGGTTCATCCAGGGTAGTAGAACCTACCTGAACACCGAGGAGTCTTCGATTGCAATGATCATCCAGGCGACGGAGGCAGCGAACAATGAGGTTCCAAATCCCGAGACAAAGAAAGACGAACGCTGAGGACGACAGTGGTGATAGTCGTCGATCTTTTTGAAGGTTCGTGAAAGAGTGAAGCTTCAAAAAATTCATTGAAGAGGGACGTGTTCAAAATAGCTCTTGGATAGGCAGCTATGGTGAGCTGCTGTATATAACTTGTAGGGACCAAATGGAGATTTGGTCATGGTATATAGACATAGAGTACATAGATGGCGAGGTCAGGAATTTACATATACAACTTGAAGTTTTATCCATGCCGCCCGTAAAGCGCTCTCAAATACGGTATTCAGAACGAACATGTTCAATAAAAAACGCAACGCATACCACAGCAAAGAAAAAAAAAGAAAGAAATTAACAAAGCAACTTGAAAGAAACACACTTGGGCATTGCGGAAAATTCCAATCAATCAAAGAAAGTGAACCTTTGTAGAGCAAAGACGCTAATACATCGCATTTCAACTAAGAGGGTTCAAACAACCTTGGAATATAGTACTAGTAGTATATAGGGCAAACCCTGGAGAGTGCAAGATGTTTACCAGATACGGACCTATGCTACTACTAGTATAATAATATTTGAAATGATATATATTCCAAGGTTCCTACGGATTGAATTATAGTTATGGCAACGGTATTGCTTAGGTGATAGACTTACGGGAACCGTTTCAATGATGGTCAAAGTCCATAAATAGGTTCCGACGACATAGGTAAACCTTGGAACATCGCAGTATCAACTTTATGGTGTCATTGTCTTCTTATGTTCTTTCAAGACTATCGATATGCGAGCAGTGATGCCTCAAAGCATCAAAGCAGCCGTGCTTTCCCCTTCTAGATGGCTTCGTTCTCGTCTCTTTGCATATTATCCTGTCTCTCTCCCGGTCATACCCTCTAGCAAAGACTAATTTTCTCCAGTTTTGTGCAATTACGTTTGGTCATTCCCCCAAAGAGCAATTGGTTGTGCTGCCTGGCCAAACCTGAACGTGCCCAGATGCATGGGAAGAAAACTATCTTCACAGCCAACCTCAAAACCAATCTACACTCACACTCCAAAGCTCTCCAAACATTTTCACGATACGATGGCGACTACATTCCCGTTTTTCTCTAGCCTGCCTACTGAATTACGACTTATGGTCTGGGAGTATGTGCTCATACAGCAATGGAGCTACACAAACTTCCACCGCGAGCAGAACCGCATCAAAATCAACGGGAAATGCCACCCAAAGATAATCAGTAAAGTGTGCCGCGAAGCTCGGTGGGTCATGAAAAGAAAGGTCACAAAAGTTGAAGGACTTGGCTGGTTCGACTTTGAACGGCATCTCTTTTTCTTTAGAGACATTGATTTTAGCTATGGGTTGATGAGACATATTCTCAGTAACTACGATCTGGCAACTCATATGCAACACATACTCCTAAATCCTAAGGAATGGGCGTCAGGAATGAAGACAATGATACGCGTATCCCGCGATTTCAGCTCAATTCGAACTATTGTTGTTGTTGGCTCTTGGTTCGCACCTCCACAAAGAACTGGTTCATTTGACATCGATCAAGACTTCGCCCCCGCCGCAAACGACGACTGGAGGCGAGTGATTTCCAAATCACCCACGGAGATCAACCTCGGACCACTCTTAGATGCGATCCAGAATGGACGTCAGGAGAATGAAGCCAATTTGGCAGAATAGAGAATGGTGCTAAGTCAGGATGTGGATAGGCTGCCGGTTCCACTACCACCTCCTTTGCGGCTCTTTGACCACTGTTCGTGGCGTTTCCGATACTGGATAGATATCATGCGAGACTGCTGTGGAAAATCTATGGCACCGTATCCACCCGGGCTTTTCTTGAGAACCCGGGAAGAATTACGGAACCCATTTGCCGTAAATTCCCTCTGGGCTGGCCGTGTGAGTCCCTGAAAAGAATAGCGATTGCGTGAGAAGACAGTCAGTGAGCAGGGATACAGCAGAAAAGATATCGGGAATTTTAGAGAAGAGCTTTTTATTTCAAACGAAGTACTAGTAATTTACATATTTTGGTCTAGAGCTTGGACTTCATATTGACGTGAATAGCCTTCACAGAAGAGTAGGCATCCAGGCCAGCCTCACCGAGCTCACGGCCAATACCACTCTGCTTAACACCACCAAACGGAATACGCCAGTCACTGTCATTGCTGGAGTTGATCCAGACCATACCAGCCTGGATCTGCTTCGCGACACGGTGAGCGCGAGTGAGATTGGTGGTAAAGATGGCGCTGCCTAGGCCATAGGTAGTATCATTGGCCATCTGAACAGCCTCATCCTCGGTGCTGAAGCGGGCAATAACGCAGAATGGACCGAAGACTTCTTCTTGATAGATACGCATCTTAGGATCGACATCCGTAAAGACAGTTGGCTCGAAGAAGAAGCCCTTGCCATTGCCAACGCCCTTGAAGGGCTTGCCGCCAACCGCGAGAGTAGCCTTCTCTGACTTTCCAATATCAACGTAGGACATGATGCGATCGTATTGAGCTTGGGTCACCTGGGGGCCCTGGAAGGTAGACTCATCGAAAGGATCGCCGATCTTGGAGACATTCTTGATCTGAGCCTTGAAGGCTGCGAGGAACTTGTCGTAGATCTTATCCTGGACGAGGATTCGGGAGGTAGCTGTGCAGATTTGACCTTGGTTGTACATGATTCCGATGTGTGCCCATTCGACGGCCTGCTCGAGATCCGCGTCATTGAAGACGACCAGAGGACTCTTGCCGCCGGTTTCCAGGGTGATGTTCTTCAGGTTCACACTAGCCATCTTCATGATGTGCTTGGCGGTAGCGGTGCTGCCGGTAAATGCGATTTTGTCCACATCCAAATGCGAAGCAAGGGCCGCACCAGTAACGGCACCGTGACCGTTAACAATATTCAAAACACCGGGAGGGAAGCCAGCTTCCACGACGAGATTGGCGAAGAACAGGATTGAGAGAGGGGTCTGCTCGGCAGGCTTCAGGACGACAGTATTGCCGCAAGCAAGAGCAGGTCCAAGCTTCCAGGCCGCCATGGAAAGAGGGAAGTTCCATCTGGGAATGTTAGCTTCTAGGATTGGAATTTCGCTGACTGGAAGGGGCTTACGGGATGATCTGGCCGCAAACACCGACTGGTTCGCGCACAGTGTAGGCAAACTTGTCTGGGGTAGTACCGATAACCTGTCCGAAGATCTTGTCGGCATATCCGCTGTAGTAGCGGATGGTTTCGGCAGTCTCAGTCAGGTCATCGTCGCGCGAAACGGTATAAGGCTTTCCGTTATCACAGGTCTCGATCGTCGCAAGGGTCTCGCGGTTATCTTCGATGAGCTGCGCCAGGCGGTTCATCAACTTACCGCGCTCAACGCCAGGGAGATCTCTCCAAGTTGGGTTGTTGAGTGCGGCGCGTGCAGCCTTAACAGCAGTGTCAACATCTTGCTCAGAAGCAGCGTAGACGGAGGCAATCTCGTTGGCATTTCTATAGATCACCAAACGGTTAGGACGGTTAGGACTGTTGGATACGAGGGGAAGATCTGATTGACATACGCAGGGTTGATGCTGGCAATCTTTTCGCCTGTTGACGACTTCACCCATTGATTGTTGATGAAAAGACCAGTGGGCTGGGTCCAGACACGGCCGTTGGGGGCCGTACACTGCACAGATAATGAAGCCATTGTGATGTGATTGAGGAGATGCTGAATGAATCTTCAGAAGATTTGACTTGAGAGGAAAGAACAGGCGATCTAACACAGCTGGAGTCAGTTCTTAAAATCCACTAGAGTACCACTTCAACTCCACGCTGCAGCTACATCACCGATAGGCGACATTGATAAGAGATTCGGCACGACATGCCCAAAGGAGAAGGTCGAATGGCCCCGCCTTGCGGGTGTCTGGAGAAGAAGACCCACACGGCATCTCCAGACGATCAAATTCGATCCCGACTCGGGGCACGGGGGCGCACGGGGAGGTTAAACCTAATGAGGGAGGTCCACGCAACCAACCAGACCGCGGGACACCGAGGAAGTGCTGCAGGATGGCAAACTCAGATAGATGCCCATATGGGATGCTAGATGCTGAATTTGCTGTAGAAGAGACAGGAGTCTGATATTATCAGTATCGATATATCGCTTGCCATATAACTAGTCAAATACACTACAGAATACATCAGGATATGCTTATTCGAACTACTATTCACGTGCCCGCCATGTGGCAACTTCCCGTCACGTGGCTTCCCCGCGAAATGATAAGCTTGACTGCACACTTGGCAGTTACATGCAGATAGACACACGGACAATATTGTAGTGGCATTAGGCTAGAGCTATTGGCCTGAATTATGCAATAGGGTCAACCTGCCCTATCGGCGAAAGTAGCGTGGCACCCCTGCATGACACACGGATCCTCCCAGTTAATTGGCCACCACTTCCGCCAAAATGCCAGTTTACGCAAGAGATATTACCTGACAGGAAAGGGAGAAACACGCAGCAGAAATGCCCTTCTCCTTCTCCAGGCTTTCGCCAAACTGAGCCAGATCCACTCGCCTACCGTCGGGAAGAGTCGCGAGATACGCGCGACCCAGCCAGATGTTCCTGGTCTACCTAATCGGGTAGGTACATGCGGATATCTATGGATCTGTTCCAAAGTGCCACCGACTATATAAGGGTCCGCCATGGGCGAACTTCATGTTTCTCCAGCTTCTCAAGTTCTTTTCATAAAACATCCTACACCATGGCTTCTGCCCCTGATACCACTTCCATCCCGGGTTACACCATCTTCCGGGAGGGAGACTATGACAGCGTTGCTGCCACTGCCATGCTTCCCCAGGGCACTCCCCACCCCCTCGGTATGTGATAAGATAAGAAAAAAAAATATTTCAAGATTATTTTCAGCAAGACTAACACTCAACTCCACAGATCAACTCTCCATTAAGGAAATCCCCCAGGTCGCGAAGCTTGTCCGCGATTACTGCAACCCTAGGACGGTCAAGTTCAACTGCATTACTCTCCGTGAGCCGCCCAAGGCCCAATATGCTGCCTTCAAGGCCGGAAAGATCCCCGCCCCGGATCGCCGTGGCTTTGCCATTATCATCATCCGCGAGACTGAGCAGGTTGCCGAAGTCGTTGTCAACCTGAAGACCTCGAAGGTCGAGGAATACAAGGAGATCCAAAATGCTATGCCCACTCTCACTCTGGAGGATCTCGATGTTATGGAGCGCATTGCCCGCGCGGATTCTCGTGTCATCCGTGCCTGTAACGAGATCGGCATCACTGATATGTCCAAGATCTTCCTGGACGCCTGGGCCATTGGTATCGACGAGCGATGGGGCTTCGACCGCCGTCTCCAGCAGGGTCTGGTCTACTACCGCAACTCCGAGTTCGACAACCAGTACGCTCACCCTCTGGATTTCAGCGTTGTTGCCGATACCGAGAAGGAAGAGGTCCTGAGTGTCGATGTTCGCCTCGTTAACGGCGAGCGCACTGCTCCTCCCCTGCAGGAGCACAACTTCCTCCCCGACTTTGTTGGCGACAAGTACAACCATGATCGCCTCAAGCCAATCGACATCACTCAGCCCGAGGGTGTCTCCTTCAAGGTCCGCGGCAACGAGCTGTCTTGGGCTAACTTCAAGATGCACATCGGCTTCAACTACCGCGAGGGTATCGTCATCTCCGATGTCCGCTCCCACGACATGTACGAGGATCGTGAGCGCACCCTGTTCAACCGTATCTCCGTTGTCGAGATGGTTGTCCCCTACGGCTGCCCCGAGAAGCCTCACCACAAGAAGCACGCCTTCGATGTTGGCGAGTATGGCTCCGGTCTCATGACCAACTCCCTCAAGCTGGGATGTGATTGCAAGGGTGCCATCCACTACATGGATGGTGTTATGTCCACTGGAAACGGCGAGGCGGCCGTCATCAAGAACGCCATCTGCATTCACGAGGAGGACAATGGCCTTCTCTACAAGCACACCGACTACCGTGATGGTACCGTCATCTCTGCCCGTGACCGCAAGCTTATCGTCTCTCAAATCATCACCGCCGCCAACTACGAGTACGGCTTCTACCACACCTTCACCCTGGACGGCACCTACAAGCTCGAGATGAAGCTCACCGGTATGCTGAACACCTACTGTATGCACCCCACCGAGACCGCCGCCCCCTACGGTACTCAGGTCGCCGCCGATATCACCGCCCACAACCACCAGCACATCTTCTCTCTCCGTGTCGACCCCGAGATCGACGGTGTCAACAACTCCGTTGTGCAAAGCGACGCCGTCTCCTCTGACCACGCTGTCGGCTCTCCCGAAAACCCCTACGGCAACGCATTCCTCAGCAAGAAGACCCCCCCTCCGCACATCCCTCGAAGGCGCCGCCGACTACTGCTACGAGACCCAGCGCTCTTGGGACATCATCAACCCCAACCGCATGAACGAGATCGCCAAGAAGCCCGTTGGCTACAAAATTCTCAACAACAACTGCCCCCCTCTCCTCGCCAAGCCTGGCAGCACCGTCTACAACCGCGCTGCCTTCGCCCGCAAGCCTCTCTGGGTCACTCCCTACAAGGACTACGAGCTCTTCCCTGCTGGTGACTACGTCTGCCAGTCCACTGGTGAAGAGAACCACCCCCACAACTCGACCATCCTGGACTGGGCCAAGCGCAACGAGAACATCGAGAACACCGATATTGTCTGCTACATTCAATTCGGTCTCACCCATTTCCCCCGCACAGAGGACTTCCCCATCATGCCCGCCGAGCCTGTCAGCGTCATGCTGCGTGCCTCTAACTTCTCCGTGAAGAACCCCGGTCTCTGGGTGCCTCCCAGCGCTATCTGTGTGGATACCATGTCCAAGAATGCCTTCGCGTCTTCGTGCTGCGCGGCTAATGCCCCTGCCAGCTCGTCAAGACTGTAAATATAAGCATTGACATTGGGTAATGGTGTTCTATGAAAAATTGTTCTTGGGTTTCAGCTTGCGATGATACACTGTACATAGTCATTGGTAGATTTTCTGTTGATATGAAATATTTATTTTCACATTTGAACCTTGTTTCCAGACCTTTCCTCGTAGTATTTACTAATATGTAAATCATTGACGCCACATTTGACATCTAATGCTCACAGAGACTGAAATGGCCCTCTTGATACTCTTCATTCTGCTTTGCAGATCTGAGGCCACGCTCTTCCATAAGCTCAAGTCGGTACGCCTTGGCTTCCTCCAAAGACATAGCCGAACAGTCCACCGTTTCTGTTTCAGCCTTATCGGCCTTCTGGCGTTTCGCAGGCCGATCAGAGATCTGACTGTCGGCAGATGTCTCATTCTCAGTAGAAGTTTCCTTACTCTCTTTCCAATCGTTTCGTTGCGGCGGCACATTAGCCGAAGAAATAATTCGTCGGTGCGGGTCAACCAAGAACAATGCGAGAATCTTGCGATGACCAGGTTTGGACCGGTCTTCTAGCGAAAACGGACTCACGCAATGCTGAAGCGTATTGGGGAATGTGATGAGTCTACCCTCTTTGGAGACCACGCTGCCGAGGTCTTGTGTCGTCAGGCAGTCGCTGTTATTTTGCAAGTCGATTGAATAGCCATATACCTGTTGCATGAATTGGTGTTGGTCTTGGTCGTAATCGATGTCGAACATTTCATTATCCATTCCGCGATGGCGGAAGGCGAGGGAGCTAGTGGTGATATTCTCGCTATCGTAGTAGTAGATTGCTGATGCGGCGATGCGCTCGTTCTATCAGATACGAGGTTAGGTATAATCCATAATTCGGGGTACAGAGAGAACGCGGAGTGGGAAATAGAATAGACTCACGAGTTGGCCCTCAATATGCCAGCTTCCACCCTCGTACTCAGGTTTCTCGGGTGTCAGCTCAATATTCGCCAACTTGACAATGATCTGCAGTTTGCGATGGCAGAAGTCTGTTCGGAAATTGATGGGCTGCACCCGGTCACTGTCTGGCCTGGGGATTTTGAACTCCCCTGGCTCGGGAATTTTGACCTTGCGAGTAGCCTCATATTCTTTCTGGCGCTTGTAATGGTCTTCGTTGCGTTTCAGATGTTCCTGATAGTCACCCTTTCCGTCATACATTTCCTCCTCTTCGTCCCATCCCGGGAATTCTCCATCTCCATAGCCTTCTTCCCATTCAAAACAGTTGTACGAGATTCTCGGGGGGTGATCCTTTTCAGTAAGAGCTGCCTCCCACAGGGGCACAGTCCGTGAGATTATCTTTTCAATGACTTCGTAGAGCGCGCGATGCTTGACCGGGTGGGCGTTGTTGATGTAGGACAAGATGCGGCACCCTCCATCCTTGGACAGGTCTATATCACACGGCATCCACTGGAATTTCGTGCTCAGCACCGGTAGGTCGAGCATTCTTCTGGGTATCCGGCCACTAGAATGGTCATTTGACTCGCCATCCGGAGGAGCAGGAAGCACTTCGCCTTGCCCGATATAATCAAGGCAGTCTTCAAGACCGAGAATCGTATCAGGGAGAACTCGCGTCTTGCCGTAGAGAACCGGGAAGAGGGATGGGTGCACAAGGTCCAGTACCTTGTCATCGGAGCCGGGGTGGTAGTCTTTCTGATCCTCGGGAACATCTTCTAGAGGCTTTACTGCCTCTTTCAGCGCATCCTGAAGCTCTTTAGAAACGGCGGTATCCGACTTGATCACATTTTCAAAGACTTCGAGGTATCCCTGTTTCTCGAGACAAGATTTCTTCCACTGCAATTCTTTGATAATCCAGTTCATCATTTTGGGCGTGACATCTTGCCCGCTCTGGGCGATTTCTTCGCGCCATTTGTTGGTGATGGTCTCGTCAAAGACCTTTCGTTCCCAGTTAGGCTTGTCGGTGATAGTATTCATTACTTGCATCATAATGATTTCTCTCTTGACAAGGAGCTTGCTAGAAGAACGGAGAAATCGAATGTCAATACAAATAAGCGCATGTAAGCTGAATTTTCGTGATCAACGCACTCAAGTCTACCATCTTCCAGATGATTTGGATCCAGCGCGTTGTAGAAGCCCGTGGAAATGTCAGTCAAGGTGGTCCCCCTCTTCAACATGTCGCTAGACAAGATAGTATATCAGCATCATCGTTTATCTACCAATATCCAAACATGATCAGCACCTACTCAATACTGCTTTTATAATCAATTGGGTACCACCACCGGCGCAGCTCATTGATGTTTGGCTGGATCAATTAGCTTTCCCTCTTGAACATGGCATGGGACATTATAAAGCTTACAGCCGGTGCAGCATCCAAGGGCACATTGAACCCAGGCATTTGGGTCTGGAACCACTCGTGGGTAGGATCCATAATGAACGGCTCTTCCATTGCTGAATCTTGAAGCTCAGATGCTAGAATTTTGCTAAAACCTCGGATATTGCGGTTGCGGTGGCTTTTATCTCAAAATGTCCTACACTAGCGCCCAGGCAACGATCAGGCTGCCACTTGGGGTCAAAGAGACCTCGGAGGATTCGTGAGAGAGGTGATTGGCCGGATGCCTGCCAAGAAAGGATGGTGGGACTATTGACTTAAGTTGTCTTGGCGCTGTTGAAATGGGGAGATTAGGAACTTGAAAGAAAGCCTGAGCGTGAGAGGTGCAGTGTTTTCAAATCTTCCTGACGGGCTAGTTCTGTACCGCACTGCCATTTGTCGACTTTCATGCTTGGAATATGGGAGTTCTTCCAGATTTAACGAAGGTAAAGAGCTCAGTAGGCAGCGGAGTTTGAATATGGAGTATTCCATACATCCATATACGGGGATACCATTCCCGATCTCGAAAGCCGAAGCAAGCTGGGTAGCAGATTTCGGATGCTTGCACGAGGCAGTTTATTACCAAACAGTGATGGTCAGTATTGCCATGCAGCTTTTAAGAACTGGTCGATCAGGGACTCAAAAGTCTTCCCCTGCCGTTGGAGATGAATATGCCGGAACAAGGGTCTCGGTCTCGGCCAATGGGATGAGGAGAATATACCGTACAAGTGTAAGGATAGATCTCACTAAGAGTAGATGCCAGTACTTAGAGTATGATTGAAATATTCATCCTCTTTTCAATAAATGGATTTCTCACGTCAAAGATTGACCATGTCTTGATGGGTGATGACTTTCGCATATACAAAGTTCAGCCCGGCCACCCAAGAAGAGTGATAGAATGGTTTTCTTTCTAAGAAGTCTCTGTCTTGGCACGTAGACCCTTATGCTCTAGGGGAACAATTGGTTCCTCTAGGAAAGTCCATATACGGGATAGGAGAAGCTGAATTGCGGGCTTATCTTTTTTTGCCTTTTTTGCAAAATTCCCAGGATAACAGATCGATTCCGTCTTCCGGTGACCAGCTCTCTCTTTTGGTCCTTTCTTTTTTTCTTTCCTGTGCAAACGCTTTTTGTTGTCGTTTGTTTACGTTAGTTAGTTAGTTAGTTATGCTTGGGTGCCCGAGATATCAGGTGTCAACTCACTCAGCCGCATCGTCTTGGCCCCCACAAGATTGACTCAGTCCATTCCCCACTTACACTTACACTTGTATACTCTCATGCTTCACTTGCCTACTTTTGGACCCCGCATCTACTTTTGGACCCCTAATTCTCGAAGTGAGTCATCCAGTCACACATGTGCGAAGATTAGTACGGGTATAAATATCCTCTCACAAGGCCTCAGACGACACTGTTGTCGTGCATTGAAAAGTTACATGCTGGTCAGCTTCATCAGCAACCATGGAGAAAGTAAGAAAGACCTTTTTCAACCCACTGGCCACTTCGAAAGCCAAGGTGGTAGAAATCCTCGAAGCTCTTCCAGTCGGCTCGGCGCACCCTTTCAGTCCGGAACAGATTCTTCTTTGTCGGTCGGAGGATGGGATCACTGAGATCGACATCTCGTCGTATCCAGACGACTTCTTTTTCAATGCTCTTGACTTGGGTGAAATGGGAGAGGTTCTTTTGAGACGAATGGCCAGGTTTCGTGAGATTGGTAAGTTTTTCGTGACTACTTCGAGGAAAATCTTCATGCTAACATTTACACAGACATTTTCAAGGACTTCCAGATCATGCAAGCGCCTGATACGACATTCAAGATTCCCATAGTCTCAGATCAAATTACCATTCTTGCGGTTTCCGAGAGGACCCCGAATTACTGGGACTTTTGCTTCGCGGACGAGGACTGCAACGCATGCTGCTGGCTGGAAAGGAAGACATTTAGCGGAGTCACCCACAGTGGGGATATTCTCCAGGGGAACGATCTCCTCGATTTTGTTTGGATCAACAAGGACTCTCTAACAGAGAAAGAGATATGCGTGTTCATCTCTGGCTACCAGACCACCCGGATTTCGCGTTTCATGGGGACACACCCTGCAATGCTTGTTGCAGACCATGTGGACAAGGTACGTTTAAAGACCGAGTGCTACATTGCTCATTGTCGACTAGCTAGCTGACTGGGACAACAGATTCTCTATATCATTCCAGTACCGTTGGATGCAGCGACAATCGGAGATGCGACTATTTGTTGTCCCCTGGTAATAAAACGTGATGAGGATTCGTTGATTTTCTCAATACTCCCGACGGCGACCACCGACCGAAACATGTTCTGCCAAAGCAAGATAATGAACAGCCCTGCGTTCCCGGAAGCCATCAAGCGTGCCAACTTTACTATCGCAGCAAAGGAGCCAACAAAACGATGTGAGCATGACATGGAAGGAGCTATTAGATCTTCAAAAAGAAGGAAGCTTACAGAGACAGATCAATTAGATGATTTGGCGGATGCGGATGCCGCAACGACGTCAAGAAACATAGACAATATTGTCAACCACAGGAATGCTGTTTTAACCACCTATTCGGCCACCATCCCCTCATTCCTCGACCAAACAGAAGCCCAGATTATACGATTCGGTTCGGGTCTCGAATTTGAGTTGTCCAGCAACGAGCTATCGACACAAACCAAATTTTCCGGTGTCGTTCTTCCATGCATATTTGGCTCTGAATTACAAGGCCCAACTCTACTGGCAACGGGAACGGCTCCCTCCAACGTACCATTCTCCAACGAAAGCTCACTCCGAGAATACTACAAGAAACTGCAAAGCGCCGTGGTGATCGTCGACGAGAAAATGACTGACAATGCTCGCAACCTCGCATCTCACTACCGAATCAATGCACTTTTCATTGTGCAGCTCACCCCCATAACAGAGCCTAAGAATCCAGATGCTGTTCTTTCATTGATGAACTCCGCAAATATCAATGCTGTAACTGCTCTCGCAGGACCGCAGTCCTTGGTCTTGGTTCAAATCTGCGATAAGTTCTACTTCTACCGAGGCATCGCCAATCTTGCACACCTGGATACGTCGGGACTGGAATTCGGCGTCGATTTGACATCTCTCCTCCACACAGTTGGAATGGAATCCATACTTGATCCCCGGGCTCCCCGGATAGTCAGACTTGACGAAGAAAATTCAATTCTTCTTCCCGCGTCCGGCCAATTTGTTCAGCCTCAAGCTCTGCAAAAGGTGCTCGAAGAAATATCGATTGAGCAGATCCAAAGCTTAGAGCGAGACATCTCGGCTGCCGTTCCCCAACTACAGATGCTTCTCAACCAGAAAGACTTGCAAGAACTCTCAAAGTCCCTGGTAGCCACCTTATCTGCAAAGGTCAGCAACGTAGCAGCTCCTCTGCGAGAAAGATACACCCGCTTTTTGACAACCGAGTACAATGTCGACAATCGAGAGTCTGTGTTGATGAAGAACAATCTACTCGGGGAATTGAGAAAGGTTACGAAGGATATGCAAAAGACCCTCGAGCCGATAATTTCTTGCTTGGCTAATATGATATCGTCCCAAACGACCTCCAAGCGAACACACGACTTGAAACGACTTGTTCGTCAGACAACCATTCAGAATAATGTCGAGGCCGCGAAGTCCATGACCTTTGATGCTCTGTCTGGATATCTCGAGGAGTATGCAGAGGATATGGGAGTCATGCTACTAAATATCGAAACGGCAACCTTCCGAGGGCTATTGGGTAACCTGAAAAACAATTTGATTGATGCTAGGTATGTGACAAGCCTCTTTGCAATGGCAGAGCTAAAACTTTCAACCCCATATTGCCCTATTTCCCACTGTTATTGACCCCCTTCCGAGTCACGAATGAAACTAACAATCTTCCTAGCCCGTGCTGCGCTCTAGACTCTCGAATCCTCCACCTCCAAGGCTTCGACGCCGGAATCCTCATCGAACAGTCCCAGTCGAAACACGATGGTCCCCTCCAAAGCACAGCCGGGGCCTCCCAGCCTATCCTCGCTCTGCCTTACCTCAGCCAGTTGTCAGGAACAGGATCAATGTTAGCATGGGTGTGTTGGGACGAATTCGTCAACCTCAAAAGCCCCTACAAAGTGCGCTGGATGGAGAAATGCAACGAGCCACATATCGCCGCCCTTCGAATCATCATGAGAAATACCCTAAGTCAAGCCGTCGCGTCAAGAGAATACAATCTACAGCCAGGCTCCAATGAAACAGGCGCACTGATGAGCGCTCTCTTAATGGCATCTATGTCTAAGCTCGCAGCAATGCGCACATCCCGACCTACAGAAATAGTTGGAAAAGCCGAAGACACCGTTACAAGACTCATGCGTGGGCTTTTTGGCAATCTCTTGACTATCGCTGGGTCCGGACTCCGTCCTCTGAGCATGGTCTGGCAATTATTCGGTCAACATCCTCAATACGATATTCCTGCTACAAGAGGCGACTGGGTCTGGTACGAGACAGTTGTAAAACTGTACCCGTACACGGGGTGGCCACTTGCTCAATTCCACTCCAATCTGGAGAAACTACTGGACAAGGCCGTAATCCGGGTCGTGACCAAGAACGAGAATATCGCGCAGATCAAAGCATCTCGAACGGAGGAGATGACTAAATTCTGCAAACTTCGGAATATTTACCTCACCCATTCTCGAACAATTTTAACGGTTTTCATGCGTATGCTCACAGCCAACATGAACAACGGTACCGAAATTGACATCGCTGCCGTTGCAACACGTCTACTAGCACACATCCCCAGACACTAGACAGAGAATTCGAAAGCTACAAAAGAATGATCTTCTATCTCACCCATCTGTCAGAAGGAAAGCCGAGAATCGCTGAATGCGACATCATCCCCATGAACCTATACACAACGCGGTCCGGGGCATTCGCAGAATTAAAGCGTCAGGTCCGCGAAGCATGCAAAGAAAAGAACTGGGACCAGGTCAAGAAGTCCTGCCAGGATGTTCTAACGAAGAGAAGCGAAATAGCGACTCTCTGGAACGTGGCGCCTGAATTGGTGAAAGTGCATAACATCACGGCATACAGGACTCTACTGGCGGCGGATTTTAGTGAAAACGTTGACCAAGACACCGCGCGTACGAATCATCAGATCGCGCGGCAGATTGCTGGAGATGCGGAGATTGAACTTGTTCCCTGGCACGTAGGGAAGAAGGGTCAATATGGGGAAATTGAGCCCTTGGATGAGAGTGTTGTTCATGAGATCTTGACTGGGGAAGCAGGTAGTAGCGGTCAAGAACATGGAGGAGAAGCTGATGAGGCAACGGAAATGACCGCGGAAAAGGAAGTTGTGAAACTCGGAGATGAGTTTGTTCGGTTCGAGAAATCTTTCAAGGCGGATTTCATTCAGACAATGCAAAAGGAGTTCACCATTGAAGCAGTGTGTGAGGTTATGAATGTTCCTGTCTCCGCAATGCGTGTTTTCGTCGATGCGCTGAATCCGGAATTCGATTGGGGGGGAGCTTGGAGTGAATTTCCAAGCTATTATCTTGGATTTGATGAGAAATCGGTCTGGTCGGGAGGATAGTCGGCCTGTGAGAAAGTTGTTGCGGCTTGAGAAGGGGCTGTTGTTGACAGGCTAAAGGCTCATGTTTCGGGGTGCTTATGGAGGCGTAAATACCTGGCGTTTGTTTCAGTAATTCAGACAGAGAGTCATTAAGACAAAGTTTTGTTTTCATTTCAAGGTTGCTTCACTTCCACTATCAACTGGTACAGAGAGGTATCTTCTTCATCTTCCAAATCAAATGGTATCAATTATCAATCGCTAAACAAGACAAGAATCCAATCCATGCACACAATCCAAGTACCAATCATATATACAAGTTCAAACACCCCACAGTGCCCCAAGCCTCCCCAAATCTGACCCTGACCCTGACCTTATTCAAGTAAACTAACTATACATCTGTACAACAAGCGCCGCCAAACCCAACTCAAACTCAGTTGAGTTCAAGTTCAATTCAGCTTACAACTCCTCCTTCCCCCCCTCATCAACCCCTAAAAAGAAATCAAGCTCACTCGGACCACCCTGCGAATCCTCATTCTCAGCAAGTTGCTCCAATAAACTCAAAAACGGATCCTTCTCCACAGGTCCCGTTTCACTACCCGCCGTATGCGATCCGGAAGTCTGGCTCTGCGCGCCCGGCGTCGCAGCCGCACCTCCACCAGACGCATTTGCCGCGTCGAAGGGGAAGGTCGCGTACTGCGGGTTTGAGGGGGGCGTGGGTGCTATGAAGCCCTCTGCTAGGTTGAAGGCGGGTGGGGAGAGACCGAAGGCCGAGGGGGAGAATGATGTTGGTAGGGAGAGGTGGTCTGATGAGGGTTGTTGTTGTGTGGGGTCTGGGTTTAGGGACACGGGAAAGAGGGATTGGAGGGAGGGGGAGGGGTGGAAGTGTAGGCCTGGTGAGAGGTCTTTTGCGGAGGGGTGTGTTGAATCGGGTGTTTGGGTTTGGGTTTTGAGTGTTGGTGGGCGTGGTTGGTAGAAAGGGTTGGTATTGAAGCCTGAGGGTGGTGCCATGGGTCGTTGATAGTATTCTTGTCCGAAGGTATTTGGGCTGGGTGAAGTGTTAATGGGTGGATGTTCCATTTTGCGCTGTGTTGCGAAGGGGAGAAGGGAGTCTTACAATGAGACGAGCTCGTCGCCTGTATCTATTAATCTGACATGGGCGCCGTCCGCTGCTAGGCTCGGGTATCGATCGAGGAAGTCCTCTAAGTGGAAGACCGGGGAGAATCGCATCGGGCTAGTAGCCAGATTACGGACCAACTCTGAGTGGCAGGTGTAAATTGCCTGGAGAAGCTCCCGTTGGTGCTGGACGCCGGCCCAGGAATTGCGTAGCCAAGCAAGCTGGTGCATCTCACGAGTGAGAAACTCTGCGCTCGAGGAGAAGACCTCTCCTTCCTGGCCCTTATAGTGTACGCCGTGGACATGCACAGTACCGGCTGTGCACACGCAGTATCCGACAAAGGCAGGCCACTCGATCAAGGGAGAATTCCGACCTAGCTCCACCAGCTCTGCGATTGCATTAGAATGCGAGAAACAGAGGTTGGTGGCTTCGATCTGCCATGACTGGTGTTGACCGGTTCCGCGGAGTTCTACCAAGTCAATTGGTAGGAAGGGGCGATAAACCAGGCAATGGACGAGATGGTAGATTAATTTGCTTAGGAGCAGTGTAGTACTCTCTGGATGACCGAATAGAGCCTCAATTGAGGAAAAGACGTCCTGCGTCCCGGCGGCCCAGATGTCCAACTCTTGTCGAATTTTGGACAGATTCGATAGCGCGTGCCAAGGAAAATGTGAATCGCCCTTGACGCCACCCGCTGCCAAGTAGCGGTTCGTGACACCTAGAATACGAGTAATATCAATCAAAAGAGAGGCGGCGCTGGGTGATTTGCGCCGGGAATCAGCGGAGTATTGGATGTTGGGGCCAACGTGGAATAGCTCCCCTTCGACGGTGAGGCCGGGAGTATGAGAAGACCAAACGGGTAAACGTAGCACAATGGAGTGATCGGCGATGAGACAGGGGCGAGGGGACCCGCAGGTAATGAAGCGATCCATGAGATAGACAGACCAGAAGAGTCGCCGCCTCATTTCTCTCTCTGGGGGTGCTAGGTTGCTCTTGGAGGGGGCCTCGCGGAGAAGATCCAATGCAACTACCATGGCGGCGCAATTTGCTAGACTTGTTAGAGGAGAACTGTATTCACGAGATAACCGAGAACATACAGAATGTCATATATGCCTTTTTCCCTAGTCCATAAGCGAAAAACGCCTGCGAGAGTAGCAGGAGAGTCTGCAGCCCCTCAACCGTGGGGTTATCTACATCAATCATCCGTCGCGCCTGCAGGGCAGCATCTAGACCCATCCGCAGAGACTGGTCTGGCTGACCGACCGCATGTACATATCTGTGGCGATTGAGTTAGTAAATTGACTCCTTCAAAGGCGGCAAAAAGCCCACCTCGCCGTCATGGCCGATATCGCCATAGACAAGGGCGCGTATAGCTGTTTTAGTTGGTGCATCTGTCGTGTACTCGTTTCGTCCAGGACGAAAAAGGGTTTGCCGTGTAGGCGTCCGAAATATGCATCGAGCAGGATATCTGACAAGATGACATTGTGGGGCTGTGGTTGCGACTGGGAATGTGATGACTGTGGCTGCGAGAGGGCCGGAGATAGGGCCTGGTCGGTCGCGCGAGGAAAGGACTCGGCTGGCTGGGAGAGAGATGTGGATAGAGACGGTCGGCGATCGTTCGAGGAGTATGGATGAAACGAGGCATCTATGGTGTTGCGTCGGGATTGATTGCCGAGGGGGAGATCCTCTGGGGGATCGGGCGAAGTGGGTGATATGGGGTTTTTCTCATCCTGGAGTCTCTTCTCGAGACCATCAACGCGTTTGAGAAGGGCCTCGAGGACATCGGTCTTAGGGCCGCGTTTCTTGGGGATGGCATCTAGAAGAGGCGAGGCGAGATGTGTCAGAGGTGATCGGCATGGGTGAGACAGCTGTAGGTGGGCTCATCCACTCACCATAGACGCAAGCACATTGGAAGACCTTGCAGGCTTCACAGCTCGGGCGCAGCCGGTTACACTTGATCTGGAATCGCATTAGTATTGGAACTCGCATTGGCATTGGCATTGGCATTGGGATCGGGATTGCCTAGCATTGCGGTGCCGGCATCGGCATTGAGCGTGGGAGGAGATGGGATGAGATGTGGTCGATACCTTTCTTTTGCGGCAAGACTTGCAGTTCATCGCCTCGCGCGGTTCTACCGTTGCGCGACGCGGTGTCAACCGGTCTATACTGACCTGTGGACGAGACATGGTGGTGAGGAAGAGGAATGAGGGAGCAGGGAAATAAAAAGGTGGAGGCGAAATGCGGAGAAGCCGAGAGCCCACCGGAGTTTGGTCTGGTACAGCATAGTAAAGTACTACTAGTATAGTTACAGACTAACTATGGTCTAGTCTAGACTAGTCTAGACTATTTTAGTCTAGGGTAAGGCGTAATTATTATTATTATTATATAATATCCAGCTAGGGCTCTCTTGCCGAACTACGGACTCGGACTAGTCAGGCTAAATGCTAAATGCTAAATACATACTCCGTACTACTGGTAAATGTCTCGGTAAATGTCCATCCTTGTAACATCCCCGAGCCCTACATCAGCACTGAACTAACACTTGCTAGGGTACCACGTTTAACTAGTACACCACCGTTACTACTACTATCACATGCCTTTGACATGCCTGCAGATACCTGCAGCTGCCACTGGATATCCCCACTCCCATTCCCATCAACCCCCCACCTGAAACATACAAGATGAAAGGAACAGCTAAGCGCCGGCCAGCATACCCCATTCGTCAGAACCCTTACTATAGTCATAAATTAACTATACTATACTCTTTTCGAGACGGATTCAATAGTACTAGTCCCAATACTAAATGCCATGCATTGAGTTTCCTCGTATACCTACAAATACTCGTATACTACTCGTATAGGTGTATCCCAATACCCATATCTCTAAATAGCCTCATTCTAGACTCACTCTATACCCGGTAAAGTATACTTCCCAGCTAGAACTACTAGTAGAACCCTATACCTACTGTCCTAGTACCTTTTGACTACCCCCTAGGTACACCACCAGACATATCCCTCACAAAATCAGCCATCTCCGTCGCCCTCGAACCCCCCATCCCCTCCAACCCACCAATAACACCCTCTCGATCCGCAACACCTTTCTCCTGACTCCCCTTAAACCTTCCCTCCACCCGCGTGATCTCCACCTCCATCCCCACGATCCCCTTCTTCAGCATCGAAATATACTCCACCGGCGCATCAGCAATCCTCCACGGAGATCGCCCCTGCTCTGATTCAGATTCATCACCCCCAACACTGCCATTCTTGCCACCCCCAGCATTGCTGCCACTGCCACTGCCATCCTTGCCATACCCCATAATCTCCACCTCCCCAACCCTCGCCAAATCTCCCAATTGCCGAGTAAGAAACTCCCCCCGTCGCCTTCTCCTTCACAGAATGGTAAACAACCATTCGCCCATACACCTGTACTGCGGCGTAATTCCACGTCGGCGCAACCTTCCCACTCCCACTCCCAACCGACGCTGTATAGAACTGCGGCGTGATGTAGTGATCCACTGGACTGGTAAATACAATCAGGACTTCGCCAGGAAGTACCTGCCCTTGTCCTTGCCCTTCAAGTTTCCCCTGCTGCTCTTGGTCCTCTTCCTCGTCTTGACCCTGACCCTGACCCTGTCGATCTCCCTGCTGCTTCTGCTTCTGCTGCTGCTTCACAACCGAATTAGGACCGGTCTCTACCCCCGCCCCCGCCTCCATAACGGCTTCGATCAAAGCCTTTGTATGCGGATTTGCGCGCGCAATGTGGCCGCGTAGTGTGCCAAGATTCTTCCTGTTTCTAATACTGTTGCTGTTGCCACTTGGGCTTTGGCTTTTGCTTGTGCATTGCTTGTTGGTTTCATTTTTGCTGGTGCTGAGACTGGGACCGAGACCGTCGGGTAAATTCCTAGCCGAGCCCTCAACCTTAACCCCCTCATTCCCAGTCCCATCTAACCCCGCGTCCCCGTCCCCGTCCACATCCACACCGTCCAATACCCACGGAATATGACTACACTGTAACGTAGGAAAGTTCTCCGATGGTAGCGAGGTGGTTAGGACGCCGAGGGGGTGTGTGCGGATAAAGGTGTGTAGGGTGGGGAGGTCAGTGACGGCGTGTTCGGCGCGTAGGTGCATGGTGCGTGTGATGGTGGTGATTCTTGGATTGAAATTGAGTCTTCCCAGGGTAATGTTTAGGTTTCGGACTTGGAGGAGTGGAGTTTTTATCATTGGTAGTGGTGAGCGAAGTTGAAGTTAGGGCCTGGGGTGAGTGGTGGAAAGGAGGGTTGTTGTTTCCAGTTTAGTTGCCAGTGCCTGCCACATGGCCGAATGTCCCCCGGGCGTAGGGTCGGCCTCCCCGGATTTTGATAAGCTTATCAGGGCAGCGCGGGGAAAGGGCAGCCCCGGACGGGGATGGGACTCCCCGTCAGAATGGGATGCAATAGACCTAGCTAATTACAGAGATCAATACAGACGGTAAGGAGATTTATTTCAATTCCAATTCCATGCACGCCAAGCACCACCGCAACAATATCTACTGTAAGCGGTTCAAAATCGCATCGCATCGCACCAAGGGGGCAAAGACACTCAGAGATAAACACAAAAGAAAAAAAGGGTAGATACAAAATCGCCTCAACAAACAATGACCCCCAATGCTACATACTTGACATGAAATAAATAAAAGGGGGCACTAGCACAAGGCACGGCACAATACTCAAGTCAAAGTGAAGTGGCAAAACAAAGTACTGCGCCGCACCGCACCGCACCGCACCGCGCCGAGCCGACCCAAAGCCACGCTCCGAAGCTAAACCAAGCCGGCTAATCTAGCTAGCCTAACCCAGGCTAACCGAACTAAAACAGAGACCTCCCACTCGCCATCCGAACAAAATCAAACGGCACATTCTGACCAACAAGCAATCTCAACGTCTCAACAGTCGTCCAAGCCGTAACATCCTCAGCCCCATACGCCGTCCACCCAGCCGCCCGAGCCACAGCAAGGGGATCACCCTTTCTCGCACCAGAGGTAAGATCAAGATAAACCTTGCCCCGAGTACTCGTCGGCGAAGAGCGGCCATTAGATCTATAATGGCGCAGCAAAGGCTGAACAAGCAACGACTTCTCCGGCGGCAGAGCACTGACAATAACGAATGGCGATTCAACCAATTTCACCGACTGGATCGATGTAAATGGTTCCAGACCCGCGGCTAGTGGTCCATGAGCCTTAAATCCAACAGTGTAGATTGATCCGACGCCCAGACTGCGCAAGGCGAAGATTGTTGCCGAGGCATCGGACTCGGTTCCAGAGAGGATTATTGCGGCGCGGTTTTTGTATGCTGATGGGACGTAGTCGCGTGTTAGGGTAGCGCGAATACCCTTCCATGCGGAATTTTCGCCGATAAAGGTCGTTTTCGGGGTGGAGGGGGTGGCCATGGGATTTGAGGATAGGGGGGGCTGGAGGTGGGGATGGGGATGATGAGTTTGGATTGGATGTTGCTGCGATTGTGTCTATGAGACCGATTGCGCGGGCTGCGTCGCTAATGGATGGGATGTAGGATGTTGAGGCTGGGACGGGTGGGTTTAAAGAGGCGCCGCCGAATTGAGGGTGTAAGAGGACGGATTCCATTGAGCCCTTTGGGCCGCGGTCGATGCAGGTGAATGAGTGCGGGAGACCGAGTTCGTTCATGCATTTCTCCATGAACATTGATTGAGGCGTGGAGCGGAATGAGCCGATGGCGTATAGGTCGCGTTTCGGTAGCTGGCCCATTATGTGCAGGGCTTCGTTGATTTCCGCGGCGGTTAGTTGGCCCGGTGCGGCGATCATGGGCAGGAGTGGGTGGGTTATTGGGGAGAAGACGGTGTTTAGGGCTCGGGAGAGTTGGCCCATTTGACCCATATTCACGGCGGAGAGGAGAGGACGGCCTGCGCCGCGGGATTTGATTGTTGAGCGGAAGTATTCGAGCTCGTAGTTCTCTTCGATGGTCGAGACCATAGCGATCATTTTCACGATGTCGCTGTATTTGGCGCTCTCGTTGAATATTTCCACTGCGGAGGGTGAGGTCCATTTCCAGCTTCCCGAGAAGTCGTGGAAGGCAGACATTATGATGCTGTTCCCCTTCACCTCGGCGAGTGCTCGTCGGATATCCTCTGGAAGCCACAATTCCACATCCACATACTCCACGCCCCACTGTATCGCCCGACGAAGATACTTGAAGAACAGCGCTGGGTCATCCATGGGAAATTTCCCATTCTCCTTTATACAGCGAGTCGTGAAGATAATCGGCAACTCGGTATGCTGCCGAAGGAGCATCAATTGTTGACCAACATATTTCAAGCTCGGCACCTTGCCCTCACACTCCGGCTCAACGAGCAGATCCACGCGAATCTCAACCGCATCCGAGCCTACGGAGAGAATATCCAGGTTCGGCAGCGCGGCGTGTACATCGGGAAAAGTCGTCGAGATAAAATTGGTGCGAGTCTTCGTCCGCAAATCCTCATGCGGTCTCGTCTGGCCCAGAATTAACGATAAGAATCGCGTCAGATCGCGCCGTAGGAATGGGGTGCGCGAGTATAGAAATTCGTAATCGCAGTGTTCGCTTAGCGCGTCGTCTGGGGCGGACCCGTCCTCTACACTGTGCGTGTTCACCAGTACGACTGCTGCCCTGTCGCAACCTTCTAGACTGCGCTCCAGATTATCTCTGACCACGCCTGCCACGACCACGTCTGCTTTGGAGAGGGTCGAGAGTACGATTTCTGTGGTCCAGGGCTTGCCTGGGACTTCCGCCACCATATGCACAATGTGTTCCTGGCCGGGCTGGTAGACGATCACCACGGTGCCGGAGGGAGCCTCTGGTGCGGCGGCGGTGTAGGAGGCATGATCGAGGCTAGATGGCAAGGGCGCGGGCGCGGGCACAGGGCCCAGATTGGAGGCGATGGATGTGACGTTCAGGGAGGAGGAGACTGGGGGTAAAGACGAAGAATTGGTGGAGGTGGGGGCAGGCGGATTGCGGAGGACGCTGGAGACGGGTGTCTCGTCGAGGAGAGGCGTCGCCATGGGCGTGAGGGCTGTGGGCATCATCGCATAGCAGGATTCCTCGTTTTCATAGTTGGGAGAGGCGGCGAGGTAGGTAGTACTTCAGTGTAGAAGGCGAAGGCGAAGGCGAAGTAGACAGAGAACTTGGAAAGTAATACCCGCGCATAGACCGAGCGGGCTTTGACCGAAGGCACGAGCGCAGGAAGTATGCGGAGTGGAGGAGTTGGAGTAGGTGTGGGTGTGGTCCCAGTACAAGATCTGGGCACTGCGGAGTGGTAGTGGTAGTCCTGGTACGGGAGAGCAGGTCAATTGGACTAAGATAGAGTTTAATATGGCGAAAAAAAAGGAGTGATGGAGTGCTGAGATGCCGGGGTCGGGCAAAAAGAGAAGGGAAGAAAAGGCATGGCGAGGATCCGGGGGGGGGGCGCGGGGGAGTTGGACGGGGATGCATTCTTCCGCCAATCACAGACGAGTGAAAAGTGGATGAGCAGATCGGATATGGAGATAAGTCGGAAAAGTACTAGACAATATAGCATAGAGATTCAGGATATACTGGAGTATCACTAGAGTATATCTATAGGGTATAAGGGTTCTAGTATATCTATATCTTCTACCTTGGTATACCCTAATCTGCGATTGTTAGTATACTGGTATACTACCGGGAGTATGTACGGTCATCCGGCTATAGTTACTACCTTCTATCCCCGGCTGAACAGCTCCCCCTGATACGGGGAAAATCTCTCCTGCCACTGGACAGAGACACGGCAGAACCAACTTGAAGCACCAATAACCAATCGAGGGATTACCCAGGGGTAATCCACTATCTCCAGCCTGATTCAGCACTACTCGTACCTCCTAGGTACTACCGTACTACTGACTACAGCCTGAGTGAGAATGCTACCTAGGCTAATATCCAGCTCCACACAGTTACTACTAGTACTACTATAAGCTATACAGAGTCAAGGGTCCAAGGTCGTTGTTGTTGGGTAACATTGCATGAAACAGGGTGTATATTGTGTATCCATCCAGTCCATCGTCAGTCCATTGTCACAGTCCCATCCAGTGAACAGTGGAAACGAATAAATCATGAAATAGGTACAGAAGCATCCCTCCCTCCCTCTTTTTCCACCGCGGCCTGCAGATTAAATGAAACATATATGCATCCATAGATGCGAATGCAAAACAGATAGATCAATGGTATCTAGGGTTGAAAGATCAAATAAAATCAAGGCAAATCAAGTCAAAAGGGCCAGGTCAGGTCAGGTGGTGTCTCATGGTCACATTACACGGCAGAGCCAGGAGCAATAGGTAGATAGATAAATAGTCGCCCACTGTACAAATCAGAGGTCGGAGAGAGGTCCAGTAAAGACGAAAACAAGATCGGGAACATAGTGTATGGCCAAAAGATGAAAACGAGGGAAAATACCAAAGGGGGAGTGGGTATTGAGTAAATTGAGAAAAACAAAACAGAAAATAGTCAAACAGTCCCCATCGCAACGGAGATCTTTCGAGATGTTGTGGAAATGCATCTTTATCGGGAAAATCAAATCAAATCAAAATGCCCAGATCCATCACCATCATGATAACAATGACAGGTTCATGTTCCGGGCTCCGGTTCAGGTCGGCCATCTTGCGCCTTTTTATTTTTGTTCATTCCGCCGGCTTCAAGCCCGGTGGCGGCACGTGACGCTATGTACGAGAAAATAGTCAACCAGATAATAGATATCTGGCCAACTCATAGGTGGATGAGGTGAGGAGGGGGTGAGAAGGTGCAAGGTTTCAGCGCAAGGAGGAGCCGTGCACCCTGGGGAAAAATCCGTGGTAGTGACAGTCTGCAAGCAACAGAAATTGATGCTCGTTCCACCGCTGCTGCCACTGCTACTACCACTGCCAGATTGTCAATACGGCCCTGTTGCAGGCTCTGCCATAATCAAGGCAGGCGTATATATAGACAATACTGAAAAGAAGAAAGAAAAGGTCGAGGCGAAGTATCAGCCCGCCAGCGGCCTGTGTCTCGGCATAGAGCATTTGAGCTCCACCCGTCAAGGGCGAAACCTCGGAACCTAAACAAGGACGCAGGCACTCTGTCGTCCGGCCCGGCCGGTACATTTCAGAAAGCGGGCACAATGGTGAGCCAAGTTCAAGCAAGTAGGAAGGAAGAGCCTCGGCCCTGTGGGCCAGCTGGTGATGGATGGATGATCGGACGACCTGTAGACAAATTCACACCAATTAACTCGGCGGAGAGATCGCCAGACCATTCATGAGCTTGGGCAGCGGCTTCCTTCGGGCAGTATTTGCCGTCTTGGACACCCGAGGCGCTCCGTGAATCATGCGGGGTTCTGTCATCAGGCTTGTGTCTAATTTCGCCGGCGCTATAATGTTGTGGTTAGTATGGGGCGTAGCTGGGGAGATAGATAGCATCCAGGTAGATGGATGGATGCAACTCACCTCTTTGGGCTACCCGACTGTAGTCACTGGCGAGGTTGTTCTGGCTGCGACTGCTTGGGGCGAAGAACGTTGCGCTGGCGGTTCGCCACAGGTGGTTCGAGGTATCTGACAAAAAGTCCGTTGTGGATCGACCGGAGAAAATGGATGTTCTGCCACGGTTCCGCTTTGAGAGGACGATCTCGTCAAACAGTGCCATCTTGGAGTCCTTGGCTTTGGGGCTCGTTCGTTCACGTTCACTAATGAACTCCATGAATCCTATAGCATGTCAGATTTGAATTTCAACTTGTGTGGCGAGGTAGGTAATAGGGTACTAACCTTGCGTCTGGGATAGGTGGGCAACGTATTCGGCGTGATCATGCGGCAAACTCTTCATGAATGCCTCCATGTTAAAGGAATAGTAAAGACCTGCTTTCTTCTTGTCGCCGGTGGCTGGGGTAAGGAACTTCTTGTATGTGTAGAGCAAACTGGCGAAGCATCTGACAAAGGCAGCACGGATCTGATCAGGGTGGAAGGCTGCATCGCAGACCAGGCAAACTTGGGACGCACACCGGTTGTGAACAGTCAGTTTGCACGATGAGCACTTGTACATGCCCTCTTCAGCCCGGTCATCACAGATGGCACACGTCAACTTGTCATCCCATGGCTGTGTTTGGAAATAGTGTCCTTCAACCCAGCAAGTTCCCTCGGTAGTGCTGACATACTGTGCGGAAGCTTGTGGCACAATAGTCGAGGCGGCAATTGTTGACTGGGCATACACGGATGGGGCATAGGTTGATCCTCCATGATCGGTGTTGAGGGTGGTGACCGACAGGTTAGATGCGTGGCCGAGGAATGGCGCACTGGGACGGCGGGTCATACCGAACGATGAGCTTCTCCGGGATGCGGAATCGAAGTGGCCGGATCGTTTCTCGCGTAGCGAAGCCTGAAGAGCCATACCGGAATCATTTCGCGAAGAAGGAGTGGGCGGAGGCGGAGGGAAATGGCCAGAAGTGGGGGAGCTCTCTCTCAGGAGAAGGAGGAGAAGCTCCTGCCCTGGCGGTAGAGCTGGTACCTGGACGATCGTTGCTCCTAGACGAGGAATACCCACGGGAAGAGACCTGCTCATGACGGGCATGCAGGAAGGCGTTGAAGATCGGGGGTTGGTAGGAATTGGGGACGACGGCGGTTGAACCGAACGCATTCGAATTCAGACCGACATACTTGGCAAGATTAGTGGGTGCTGCCTTGGAGGAATACGTAGCACTGTTCTCTGACAAGAATGTGTCCCATGGGTACGTCTCAATCGCATACGCTGGAGGCCCGGTTGGAACCCCACAGCGGCTGTGGTGAGGAGCTGCCATTTGCAAGAGCGACAAGAGCTTCCGGCGCTGGTGTCGTGGGAGAGGGGTTGGTTGCAAGGTACTTTCGATCATGTCATTATCCAGGTCCACAAGTACGAAGTCGTCTGTCGGCAATTCCACCTTCTCGTAGCGACGCTCGATACCCACGATATAAGGGCAAGGTGCCTCGATAGCTTGAACCAAGCGAGCGGGTAGAACGGGGATCAAAACACCGGTCCACTGGATGGGGAACAGAAGATCGACCAGGGCTCTCGTCGCAAGGTAAAGCATCGAGGTGTGTGACGACAGGAAAATAATGCGCGACTCGGTCAAGGCGTACTCGAAGAGGATAATGATATTAGGCACGGAAAGAGCGCGGAACAAGGCATAGAGATCGGTGTTTCGGGAGCCGGGCAGCTCATTGGACGCCTCCTGTCGGGCGAACAGCCGCAGCTCACGAATTGCGAGTTCAACCTGAGTTTTGGAAGAAACGGGACAGAATGCCTCCGTGCAAAGGTTCATGACATAGCGCTCTATCGGCTGCCACACGCCCATTCGAGGCGAGCTCGGCGGTACGCGCTGGATGCCACCTTCTGTCATAGGCACCACGATCGCCTTCAACCACTCCTTCCAGAAGCTGGTCATGTTGGCTTCGCGACCCAGAATGCCGTAAGCGCGGGGGATCCAAAAGCCGGTGTCACCATCCGTAAGACCCTCGATCTTTGAGGCTGCACCATGACGGACCGGTCGCAGAAGATCATTCATCAGTCCGATCTTCTCCTCTACCGCGCTGATCTCGTCCTCCAGCTGTTCTCGAGATTCGGATCCTGATGGCACGTTCGGTAGCTGAGCCAGAAGTTGAGAGAGCTTGGCCCGCTCCTGTGCAAGTCGCTCGCCCAGACTCGCAGCCAGCTCCCGTTCCTCGTCCGTCATGTTATCCTTCCGCCATTCCTCACAGCGCCTTTCTAATTCGTCCGCAGCTTGCGAGTTCAACGGAATCCAAATTATCACACAGATAGCGTGCAGCTTCGAGCCATTCTCTGTTGTCATGGCGAACCCGTGCCAAGTCGAACGCGGCCGTTGATCGGAGGAAACAATGTTGATATCGTTGGGGAACGCAAACATGGGGACATAGTCCGGGAAGTTTCCGCGCTGCTTTAATTCATCGGTCATTCCTCGGGTGGGGTATCGGTCGAGCAGGACGGGTTCGAAGCGGCGTTTCAACGGGTGCATTGTAGGTGAGATTTCGAGTGGTTGGGGAACGGGGATGACCGAGTTGTAGTTACTGAGTCGTCGCGAGGTGCGCACCGAAGCTAGGCAAAGATGTCAGAAAAGGAAGGCGAGGAAGGCAAAGGATACCATAGTAGACACCAGAGCTCGGGGAAACTTACCGTGTCGCGCAATTGACGGCTGTCTCTTCATACTATTCATATCGCGAAAGGCCATATGACGGCGAACACTTCCAATGCCCGAACGAAGCAGATTCGACCCTTGAGATGGCGAATCCTCCGCAACAATCTTCTGGGTACGTACGCGCGATCGCGGGCGGGAATTATTGGTAATGGCGCCCGCACTAAGACTCAAATCCGTCAAGAAGGTATCTCGCTCCGAAGCAAACTTTACTAGCGCCTGATCGAAATCAAAATCTCCGTCGAAGAGAGTCGAGCCGCGCGCAGGCGACGAGCCCCCTTTGACAGTCATACTGCTCCGGTTGCTGGCGGTGCCATTGGCGTGGCCTTCGGAGTCGCGGGACAGTGTGGAAAGACGTTGCGACGACCCGCGACGACCGGTGCTGTTCCCGGTAAACAGCGTGGAGCTGGGCCGCGAGGTGCCGGGGGGCATGTGTTCTTCTTCTGCGTCGGCATCTTCCTGAATGGCATCTGTGAAGGCGGGACCGGGGGAAGCAGCGCCGTTGATGCGGTAGTCATCACCGAGACGGCGATAGGTGTCCAGGACCTCAGATCCGTCCACGCCGGCTATCCAGAAGTAGTCGGCTAGCGGGGCGGCCTCGGGCACACTGGTTGATGGCATTGCGGGAGGTAGTGGGCTGGACGTCTCTTATCTCCCCAATTACCCAGTCTTGGTTTTAATTCCGGGCGAATGATTACCGCATGGATTGCTGGGACTTTGGGGTGCCGGCGATGAGGGGCGGGCAGAAAGGAATTGGCAAGACTGTACAGATGCGGAAAGGGGAGAAGAAAGGTACGAAGGTGAAAAATGAGGTGAGGTCGGGGGCGGGATAAGAAGAGGGATATGAGAGTCAGGGCGAGATCGGAGGAGAAGGGAATGTATGTAGAAGAGAGAGTCAAAAGAGGAGGGGTTCAGGAGTGAAGATCAATTTTGGGGGTGGGTTTGATGGTGGTAAGAACTGTACGGAGTATCTCCATGTATAGTACTGTCATAGGACCTAGTGGTTTGTGCGGTCGGCTTTACCCCATTGCCTACTGTGCCATTGGTGACGAGTTTGGTGGATTTTTGCTTTTTCCTGTTATTCCTGAGGTTTATTTATAATTATTATAGTTGTTATTATTACTATTCTCCCTTTCTCTCAACTCTCTACTCTGTACTCCAGGGCCACTAATACTCCTATCTACTCGAATGCTTGCGTATACACGTATTGCCCTTTCAATACCCGCCCACTTGTGTAGGTTAACCTACTCCGGAGTAGTTCAAGTTTGCCTAGCAACTCTTCCCCACTCTAATTATATTTCTGCTCTCCCCATCAAATAGCACTTCCTGGAACAATCATTCTGTCTTAGCTTTAGGGCTCTTGATTTCAGTCATCCTTGATTCCCTAAGACTGCCTACGTCGTCTAGTACCACACTAAGCCAGGACCGTTGGAGTTGGTTCCCGCGGGGGGCCCTAATGCCTCGGAATGTCCAAATGTCCAAAGTACTGTGCATATCGTATGCTATTTCCACGATCCTCTTTCCTTGACCAACTTCGAGTCCTTGGTTATACTATACACCATCCCTCGTTCCTGGTTATCTACAGATACAGATCTGATCTCCTCTCCACCTCCCCACCAAATCTCCCAGACTTCTGGTAGCTCTCAAGGTTCGGTGGAGCGCAAGTACTCACCGATCCCACTCATCCGACCATAGTGAATGGTTCGCGCCCATCGGGCTTATGCAGTTCCCACCCGCGTTCCAGGGGTACTGGGCACAAAAGCACAACCGCAACTGGGTACAACCACAACTGGATACAACCAACGTACCAAACAACTTGTGCGTGGTCGGTCCATGGTTTTGTGTCCCATCCCGGCCATTGCTCCCGTTTTAGGGCTCAGGGGATCCTTCAACGGTGTCTGCGCTCGGGGCATCACGGCGCAACATAGCGGGCAAGATCGTCGAGGATTTGCGTCGCGCCGTGAGACATGGCTTGTATTTGTATTCCGACACTAATATCGTGCAGCAACAATGACAGTGACAGTGTCAGTGTCAGCGACACTGTCACTGCCCTAGGTTAGCGCTAGACTCGGAGTCCTGAGTACATAAATGACCAAGCGGGACTATCCGGGCAATTTTTGTCCGGCTGTAACCTCAGCTCGTTTTTTCAGTTTTCAGTTTTCAGCCGTGGCCTTTTTTTGCATTCTTTTCCTACTTGTCCTGGAAGGGGAAGAATGGGTCGGAGGCTGCCGAACGGGAGCTGTCTTGCATATCTTCTGCACAATTTGATTCCGTCGCGGTAGAGAGTACTAGTACACGATTCGCATCACATGTTATATAAAATAATTGGCCCCCATGCTTTCTCCTGGATTTTGCCGAGATCACGACAGGCGAGGCAATATTCTCGACAAACGGATAAGGGATTCTGACTCGCCCTTTTGGCGGGGGGATTTCAGCAGGAGTCAGGAGGTGGTCTGTCCTTCTAGTGGGGGACGGAAGAGATGATCAATGCCTAACTTGATACTAGAAGTGGAGCTGGGTCGTATGTATTCAAGTACTACGGAGTACTGTGTACTAAATAATTATGACCAGTTATCATTGTTTCCAAGAGGGTACGAGTATGAAGGACGAAATAACTAGGTAATATGCATACTATCTACAGTGCTGTATATACACAACTTCAATATCTACAATAATAAAGTAGTGGATGTCCACTCTTCTCCTTCATACTCCGTACAACTTTGAATGTATACACTCCTTACCGCTGGGAACTGCAGTGTATCACCATTGGCCTCGACTTGAGATGGCCAGCCCGCCACTTTCAGCACGGTCCTGCAGCCCAGTAGCCCGTTTCGGTGCCGCTGCAGGGCTGGAAGCCAAGGCTCCAGCAAGGTTATCGCGACCTGCATGCACCTATAAGCCAGACTTCTTGAGAATAAGCGGTGGAGGGTAGTTTAGTTTAAGTTATTACTACATAGGAAGCTAGAAGAAAATAGGCACAGAAGTTAAATCATTAGGCGAAAACGAATCAATACCGAAAGGTATCAGAACTGTTTGTTACTGCACACGCGTCTTGTCACATTATCCTTCACCATTGATATTGGGCTGCAGTGACAAGGAAATCCCCGTCACGTCTAGATGCTTCTCGGCCTGGCCAGCTGAGCTGAAAATCCCACAGCGGCGGTTCTGGATTTATCGATTGGTCTAGACTCCCGTCCATACTTGCTGTTCATTGGAAGTGATTTGATGTACTTTATGTATACATGCCCAATCTGATAACAAACTCGGACTCCCTTCTCGGGAGCATCTACATATCATGTTTCTCTATGCTGGACACTCGCATCATTCGGCTACTTCAAGTTCAAGCTTGGAAGTTCGATCTTTTCTATAGGAATTTTTAATTTTTTACAAAAATTCACGGTCGCCTAATCCGTCTATGCCCTTCTTCATACGACATAACAGCGTACAGTGTACCATACAGTCACCTTCCATTGCCCTGACTAGGATTCTCGATTCTTCGTACATCTGGGCAAATCAGCCACATCGCGTGTAACATCCTCCACTTAAGCATGGGCTGCATGGCCACGCCGGTTGCCGAACCCCATTGCCCTGGCGCCAGGATTCAGGCCCGCCCTACTAGGGTACTGCGGCTCGGCAGGACCTTACGCAGACCGTCGTACAAGGAGGAGCTGGCAGGGGTGTTGGGTGGGGGGATGGGGATTGAGTTAAAGACCAGGCCAGATCAGATCAGATCAGACGAGACCAGCGAGAGAATCCGAAACAACTCAGATCGAAGCTCCACTATTCATCTTGATGCACATCAAATCAAGTCAAATCAAATCAAATCATAGCCGCTGAATATGTAGAAATAGCAGGGGTTATTGCGTATAGGCAGGGTATGCACAATCACGACTGCAACGATATGTATGTACAAAGCACCACGCACGGCACGATGCCGACTCCTGTTCATTTCTTCAAATCGCCGCGCCGCGCTATTCTGCGTTGTGTTGTGCTGTGCTGTGTTGCGCTACGCACAACACTCGCGTCTGCTCTGTCTGCAACCCAAGGCGGCTCCATGCACCGGGGATTCGGGAATTCCTCGCCGCGCATGCCGTGCCACGCAACAGCCTCACACCGTGTTTCAGGTGCGTTTCCGACTCATCAAGTTGCCCGTCGTTAGGAAGCCCTTGTCGCCCATCGCACCGCGCCATTCGATCGATAATTGGCCCAGCGTCGCCCGCCCCTCCTTCCGTAAATCTTTCTGCAGGGCTTCTAGCCCTTCATGTCGGTTTTCTTCCTGCTCCACCAGGAACGCGACTTGTAGTACGTCGCGCGGGTTGAGCGTTGGTGGCCCAATTTCCGGGTCGTCTGATGAGGTGTCCCAGTTTAGGGAGACGGATTTGAACGGTGCTTTTGGGTTTAGTCTCGTTTGCTGGGGTCGTTAGCTTTTGTTTCTTGGATTGAGATTCGAAGAAGGGGGGGTTGGGAGGATAAATGCAAGCACTCCGTTCTGGTGCGATAAATGCTAGGCAGGACATGACATGACATGACGGGAGAGGAGAGGCTGCTATGCTATGCTGTGATATGCTCACCTTAACAACGACCGCACCATCCCCAACATTCTCCAGCTGTGCCTCCAGGGCAAACCGGAGCAGACGACTCTTCCCATACGGACCCAGCGACTTATTATCCACCTCCAGCGGCGGTAACTCAGATGCCTTCGTCCTGACGCTCAGACAAGGCTGCGCGACGAATTGATACAGCTTGCGGAAGGTCCGGACTCGACCGCTAGCAGCCTGGGCGTCCTGGCCGATTCTCGTCTCCGTATAACTCACGCTGACGGCGAGAATATGGTTTCCTTCTTCTTTAAGATCATACCGGACGATCTTCTGTAATGACTCGCCGGTCGCGAGACCCTCCACCTGGGCCGAGTCACTCGCTGGATCCAGGTCTAGCGAGGCGACGGATGAAGGTGTTTGCATTTCCGCTACGATCCGCACAGATGTGACCACTCGATCTGTCTCATCAACTGTTATCTCGTTATTCGCGCTTAGGGTGCAAGCGAAGGTTTCGCCCACATAGACTGATCCGAAAGCTGGGGGGAGCGTGAGCTAGTATGCAGCGTTAGTGCTGCCTCGGGTTATACTTTTGTAGGTTGAAGATAAGGACCAGTTCAGGAAGGAGCCGACTGACATTGGGGGTGAGAATAAACTGGTCGTCGGAGTCTATGGATGGGAAACTCAACGGCGCCTTGTTGGATATCTTGGTGTTTGCGATGGGTAAAGGGGATTGGTGGGCTAGTGACGGTCGCGAAAGACTGGAAGAGAGTCAGGGATCATGCAGGTAGTATAGCGAGGGGTGCGAGTAAATTGACCGTAGAACTATGTTGTAAATCAAGAGTTAGCACCTCCTGTTCATCCCCGCATTTGAGCTTGCCTACCTTTCAAAGAGACCGCATGGGGTTCCTTGGGAGCGTCGGCGCCCGACGCAGCGCGCGGGCGGGCCATGTGTAGAGGTTTGGAGGGTGTATAGATTCGTTTGATAGAATTATTGTTGTCCCGTGCGGCATTGCGGGACTCAGCGAGTCATCTTGTGGTGAGGAAGTGGTGTGTTGCTAGTCAAGCTGTTCCATCCAAGTGGATGGTTGTCGAGCTGATAGCATCGCCTATCAATGCAGCCCCACCGCTGGGTCCATCCATGACTAATCCAGGCATTGGCAGTTCGTTATAACTAGTTAACTAGTTCATTGCTGTTAGCAATGAGTCAGAATGAGTAGACAGTCGATTAATTATCAAATATTTCAGATGAAGTGGAAATATGCAATTTCTTTGAATTTCAATAGCTAGCAAATCCCCATCTGAATGGCTTTTCATGGGCATTCATTTGGTTCATGCCAGTTTATCTCCAGGTTAATCCAATAAGAGAAACAGTTCTATCATAGTTTTGATAGAAAATACGAGAGGGATCTTTGCAGATCTAGAATGTTCTCGTCAATTCAGCCAGAGGCTGATTAATTCTTCAAGATCCCTCGGTGCATGTTGGGGGCCTAAATCATGATTAATGATTAACATAAAAACGCCCACATTCCAAATGCGGGGATAGTCAACTTCCAAGGTTGAACTACAATTTGCTACTTAGTACTCACTCCTGAATAACTCGAACCCCTCCGAAGACACTCCCAATTAAGGATTTGATCTAAAACTTGCCATCATCATGCCTAACACCATTACTGGCAGCTGTGTCTGTGAAAAGGTTCGCTACGAACTCACCGGATCGCCCATCACCAACATTATCTGCCACTGCGACACCTGCCGCAAAATCACCGGATCTGTATTCATGGCGAACAGCGCATACACCAGAGAAGTAAGTGTGAAACCTCTTCAACCCTCTCAAATCATCCCTTAATACTAATACGAGACAGAACTTCAAAATTATCACCGGAGAAGACGTTCTCAAAGTCTACAACGATAAGCCCCCCCGACTCAAGAAATACGATCCACCGCCACTTCTGCTCAAATTGCGGCTCTCCGGTCTATACAACATCGACCGGAACCCCGGGATATGAGAATATGCTTACTGTTACGGCCGGTACTATGGATATTGGGAACAACTCCTGGAAGCCTTCACTTGAGGTATTTTGCATGAGGCGAAGGGGGTTTCTTAATCCTTTCGAAGGCACGGATAAGCATGAGAAGAGCCCCGAATCATTCTAGGAACTCTATGGATGGGTCACGTACAATTTTCATTGGATGTTAAGATAAATATATATGCCAATCTGCTTCTGCATCGATAGCTCTCACTAAATTGGAACTTTCAATGAGCAACCTTTCATAATTTCTCAATTAATGTGGCTTATACTTTGGCCTGAAGGGAGAAGTTCCTGCACGCACTCGATGCGTCCAATCCAGGCGACTTACAAAAGACAAATGAGTGGCCGGTTACATACAATTTATGGCCAAAAATATCAATTGTTCTCATATAAGCGGCTATAGAAATCCAGGCTCAGTTGTAGATGTCAGCATGAGGTTATAATCCGTCATTAGTTCAATAGTCGTACGAGGCATAACTATCCACCTGGGCAAGTGATGGATAGTTTGATCCCTGATTGATGTGGGTGTTGCGCCGAGGACCAAATGTTTGGTACCTACTAGTAGGCGTCTAGGCACCCAATTATATCTACTAGTTGCTGTCTACTCGCATCTCTCCCGATATCCTTCCTTCTACATGCCTAGAATCTCACCGAATGCTACTACATTTTGCTTGATATTCGTATCGAACTGGCAACCTGTCATATCTCGGTTCTCCACATTATTATACTAAGCCTTTTTGTCTCAAAATGCCGAAGTTTTGGACGCATCGTTTTCACACTGTTCACAATCTCAAGACCACCTAAGACCTTCCTAACTGATATTTCCTAATGCACTAACCTTCCAAATATTTCGTAGAGTTTTATGTCCAAGTAGATGTAACGACAACGGGCTCTAGACCATTTGTTACAACTTGAAGGCATTTCAAAAAGAACAGGATATCAATTCGGAGTTTCCACTATGTAATGACTTCCGCCCGGTGCAGTCCAGCCCAGATAACACAGCCCCCAATCCCATGGCCCTGGCAGTAGACCTGGAGATCTCTATATCTTATGCTGAGTCCAGGCTTCGTGTTTAGAAACGCAAAGTATTCTAGTCTAGCAATATCTAGGCGAAACAGAACTGATGTAAGTATCTTTTATTCTAAAGGACAAGAAAACTGTAGACTGCAATAATTTAAATGGTCAACCGTCTACGGAGTATTTTGTCCATCTTAAGTTGTTATGCAAAATGTTGGTCTTGGGCCTACCTTGCTTGACCGGGGGTGGGGCCGCCAATTAACTTGATCAAACTTAGAACGTGGACCTGGTGGGCATTCCGGAGAATTTTTCTAGTTGGGACTCGGACAGCAAAAATGAGTGTCTAGGCCGCCAACTAAAAACTAGAAGGCTAATTCAAAACCGGGAAACCTATGAGGTGAGGGCTCATTCGGGGGTGGGTCCGCTATAGAGCTTGACCGGGAATTGATTTTAGGCATCAAGAATACTTCATACGCTTAAAGCAATGATCACCTCTATGATCAATCAAAAGCAAAGACCCTTAGTACCTGTCTTCACTTTTGCATCAAGACAAGCAACAACAGCTGCGGAATGGCGGGTTATTATTTTACACTTACATTGGATCATTACATTCCAATTCGCGTACTTCCTGACAGAATGAAGCAATAGTTCATTGGAATATCCAAAAGTTTAATGTTTTGCTTAATTTCTTTTTCCTTTTACAGCCAGGGGTACGGAGAATTCGTGTCTACCTCTGGCAGCACGGAAGGCGATCCACTTCATCTAACAGCAAAACAAAGTATTGCCACGAGGCCTGGAAACATAATCTCATTGGACGAAATATGTGAATTTTTCGATAGAACCCATATAGCTAGTTTATGGCAAACAGGACTTCGACATGAGATGTGGGGCGAGAAATACACAGCATGTCTTGACATGCGGACAGACATACGCTATAAAACTGACTGGCCCTGGAGGATATTCAGATACTAATTGTACAGCATTATCTTTGTTTGATTCACAAAATAATTGCAGATTTCGCCATGCCAACGGTCAAAAGCATTGTTTTGGCCTTTGCTACAGCGGCTAGTGCCGCCTCTGTGGACTCGAAGTCCCACGCAGGAAGTGATGTACTCACCCTCGGCGTTCTTGGCGGTATTGTTATCATTCCCAACTAGATGCTTCCTGAGCCGACTTGACTAACCTGCGCAATCTTTTTAGATTACGGCTGGACTGGCTGGGAGCCCGCTTCATTGAATTTCTGCAACAATGTGATGCCTCGCCTGGTCGCTAATAACATCACCATTCCCCGCGAGCTCCAGAATGACTGCGATGCTGGTGATCGTGGAAACATCGCCAATGCCACCGCGGAGCAGAGTAAGTTTTTATTTCCTCCGCCTTTTCGTATGAATGTTCTCGGCTAAATGAATGGCCAGCTGCCACTGCATCTTACATCGGCAAGGTTTGCGCTATGAAGAACTGCAGTGCCATCGTCTCCGTCGGTGATAACTTCTACTCCAGCGCCATTGACTTCTCTACTGGCGGAGTTAATCGCTTTGAGGAGGCTTGGTCTACCATGTACAAGGGTGGAATCTTTAACAACACCCGCTGGTACCAAACATTGGGTAACCATGATATTGTCAAGGGCCAAGCTGGCGTGGACTTTCAGACCAAGATAGCCCCCCCTGTACGACAGCCGATGGTACTTCGGCACAGAGGGACTTCCCTATTATACTTATGACCTGGCTGGTAAGGACTGGAAGGCCACCTTCGCAGTTGTGGACTCAGATTGCTTCATCAACAAATACCAAGAGGACACTTCGGTCTACCAAAACGAATACACCCTATCCTGCTACAAAGATAAGCAGGTCCAGGTTGACTTTGTCGAGCAGGCCTTCGCCAAGTCCGATGCTCAATGGAAGTTTCTGCAAATCCACCACGGCTATATGTCTTCCAGCACCAACTTCACTGAGCTTGCTCCCTTTGTTGAAATAGTTGAGAAATACAAGGGCATTGTTGTTAATGGCCACGATCACTGCCTCGCCCACTATTACTCCAACAACACCAACTTCATCCTGACTGGTGGCTCTGGATACGCCGAGCCCGGAGACTGCAACTATGGCGTCGCCTTGGGCCCCTACGCCAAGTTCCTTGGTGCCAACTCCCAGGGAGCTGGCAATGGTTTCGTGACTATGGACATTAGCAAGAAGTCCGTCAACGTTGAGTACTATGCTCGGGACATGTCCTATGAAGGTGGTGACTTGTACCCTGTCAAGAACCAGATGAAACCTATCTATTCGTTTATGGTCGACGCTAGGAAATGAGCTCATCTAGCTTGACGAGGGGTTTTAGAATGTTTTGACCTCTGGGCAGTTATTCAGTCTTTGATTGTTGCTCCAAAAAATCTACTGGTAGGCAATTACTAGTAGCGTTATCAATGTCCTTTAAAAACATCTTGATTTTCACATTACCTGACACTATATTCATCAATAATCTCCTACAAGGACTCTCGCGCCCATATCCAATATATAGAGGACCGATACCTAGGTAGGCAGGCCAATATGCCACCACCTGCGCGTTGGCTCAACGCTGACGATTTTGAACCAGCCCATCCACTAGCCCCATACATAGTACCCCATCATCGCTAGCCAAATCATAAACCAAGTACCAAAACGAGCCAACTCCCACCACTTCATTCGACCCATCGATGTATGGTTATATGACAGTGTTTTGAAAGGGTCGCTGGGACGATCTCCACCGAAATTCCATCCATTGCTACGTTGGTCCCTGTAGGAACCGTAATCGACACCATCATTTCTGATGAAAGAATTCGCTGCAGGGGAGCGGAAATTCCTGTGCCGAATTGTCGATGATGTCGACGAACATGTTTGCGATGAGATCATAAAGTCCGATCTACCTGTGCTTCCACTGACAGAACTAGGCTGTGATAAGTTAACTGCCGTATTCTGGATTCTTTGCCAAATTGGTTCAAAAGCCTTTCCGAATTCACTACTGGCGGATTCCCGAAACGTTCCCGGCGACGATTTAATGTGCTCAATGACTGCAGAATTTCTGACACAATTTGCCCTTGGTAGCGGATTAGTGTCGTGTGCGGGCTCGAGATCAGCAGAGGCGGTATCATTCTCAACCAAATCCTCCGGCCAAGCCCAGGCAGGGGTCACGCTGTGACGTTACTCGATCTGCCAGTTCCTCCGTAACCTTAGCCAGTGCTTGGCCCCTAAAGGAGCCTTACCAACTACCAAGAGGCTAGTTTGGGGGTACATGGAGGTCAGCCTCTTCAGTGCACGAGTAGCTGCCCTGCAGGGGCCTTCGAGGTTGTGAGGATCAAAGACCGCCCTTTGGACCCAGAACACGGCGAGGAGTGCCATGCCTCTGGCACTGCAACACAGCTACGGCGCTCCAGAAGCGCAGGGTGGTCAGGAGTTGTATACAGGGGTATTTTACAGTGGTGATGCAAAAGTTTGAAGCTTCCCATGGGCCACCATTTCTGAACACTTCTAATGACAGACTAGTAGCTACCTGATATGGAATAGATTGGCCAATTTATTCCATATCAGGTAGCTACTAGTCCGCCATTAGAAGGGCGAGGCCAGACCGGTCAACAAGGGCTTGGAATTTGCGGTGCTAGCGTAAAATACCGCTATACGAGTACATATACAACTACTGATCACCCTGCGCTTATGGAGTGTCGAAGTAACACAGCAGCCCAGATGAGTGGCAAATTGTGGAGTAAAATTCTCATTGTTTCAACGGTCGGCTTTTCTTCAAGGCGACCTTTTTGACTTTTGCGACCGGGAGTAGAAACGCTTTACCTGTCTGAGCACCTGCTGGATTTTTCGCTACAGGGCGCAACTGTAGAAATTTATAGCGGCATGAGTTCTCTTCTCCTAGCTTCGTTGCGGGCTACGAGGCTTCTTTATCAAGAAGCACCAAGGCCTGTTTATAGTCCTTTCGGGTCCGGGATAAAACCCTTCTACATTATGGTTGAGAACAACGTCCCTCTTAACCTTTTGATACAATCCTTCTATGTTAATCTAATTCTTGGGTTTCTTCTTCCGCTTGTTTTGACCCTCGACGTGCCGATAGAGTAAGTAGCCGCAACCCCTCTCGATTTATATTTGCTTTCCTTAGCTTCGAGTACTTGAGCTGGATAATCCACTATGCGACTGGAATTCTTGTGGCAACCTGTAACGAACTAGATCGTCACCATAGTTGATGCCTTACGTATGTGGCACCCACTTCGGCATTCACTGCCGTACTGGCTTCCGTCCCAGCTTCCTTCTCCCTCAAGCTATTGTTTTGGTCGAACCGCTACTACTACTACCCTTTATCGATATCCCTACGTCGTATCTTGATCTCTGTGAGTATCTGAGAATTCTCACAATAGCGGAGAAATAGTGCCAAGTTTAAGTTCTGGAGATGGAGACTTCTCCATCTATCTCCACGGGCTAAACTAGAATTCCCAGACACACAAATTAGCCATGATAACTAGAATCAATATCAATTATAAGAGTGAGAAGGTCTATTTAAATCCAGTTTATAGTTTATATGAAAAGTACGGCCGCTTCCTCTGACAAACAAGAAATCGAGATGGATGGTGTATGTGATGGTAATTACCCCGCACCATTCTTTTTCAGAGGTCTAGATCACAAGACAGGCCTATGCCTCCCACTAAATTGAGGTCATGGTACCCCAATCTAACTCTTTTTGGTGGATAAGTTGAACTTCATCCATGGTTACAACAATTTTTAATGTAGAACCTATGATGATATGATGTCAAAGAGTGTTCGGTACTTAAAGCTCTCTTCGCCCCACAGTAGCTTCGCCGCCGGAACTTTTCTTTGAAATTCAACATTGGATACCCAGAACCAAAACTACCGAAGATGCATTTAATGGTAAGCTTGAGATCCTGAAATAAGTATTCGCAACTAACACCCATTGTGAAAGTCTGCTAGTGTCCGCTTTGCTAGCGTGGAAGAATGGGAGAACTTCAGCAAGAACGACGATGAAAAAGCGTATGTTCTATCCTTTCACTATCCATTTAGCTCAACATTAAAACCGAGATTATTGTATTAATATCAATTTCAGACTTGAAAACATGTTTACTGGCAAAGGAGCGATCGTCCAGAAACCAATCAGTTCCACCCATGGCTTGCCTCCAATTCATAATGTGAGGTAAGCATCTTCAATTCCGTCGCTATCTTTTCATGGCTTGCTAATATCACCCCCATGGTATAGACTTGAGGCGCCAGATGATATGGAAGCTGAAGATCTGCAAGGCTCTGAATTTCCAGCGGGTGTTCTGGTACATATTGAGGAGGACCTCTAAGGATTTGAATATCAGACGTCCGTGTCACACATGGTATTTTTATCTCGTTTTGAGAGGCCTATAACCAGGAAAAGCAACAAATGGGAATTTTCTGCAGAATGCGAGAGGCTGTACGCGATTATGATCTTTGCCAAGGGGTCCTTTTGTATCGTTATTCACGTACGCAATGCCCCGTCCATCCCTCTTGGAGTCTTGATCCATATTGCGAAGAGATTTCTGATTTTGTTTCCTTGTTCTATGTTTCTTTTTTTTTGGCCTCTCGAGGATAGGAAAGTAGTTGACAACGTCATCGTTCGGAAATATAGTCGCCTCAAAATTTGCTAGCCATTGTAGCAATCACCTCGAATCTAGTCTTCGGGGATATCCTGCCATATGAAAAGATAAGACGTCCAGGTCCACCCCACTCCACCTCACACGTACCGCTTCTTTCACGATATTCAGCCTCAGAGTGACGCTGAGCTAGAACCCGAGGATAGATAATTTCCCCAGGAACATCCTCTACACGAACCGGAATAGCCTTGGATCTGGAATCAGCCGATTCATTAAAAGGATGGAGGCTAGTTTTTGAGCAATGCACAGGGCAATAACACCATCGACAATTAAATTGATTGAGAAGCAGAAAAAGCGTTGTGGATTTGGTCTCTTTCGTGTCGCTAACACAGAATTCTAACTAAACACCATTAATTCCTATTAGCCACATTTTTCCTCCGCCCGTAAAGTCATCCTCATTACCCTAAACATTCAAGGCTAAGCATTGTCTAGTGAAAACCTTAGTATAAAAGGCAGATCAATCGAGAAAGGTAAAAAACGAAAAAGACATGAATCAATACTGATCAAGAAGGAGCTCCGGCCTATGTATTCCGAAAACTTACCAATGGGTGCCGGTCCTCCAACAAACCTTCCAGTCATCGGGTTTCGAATGACGCCCATTTCGTGATCGGGTTCGAGACTCATCGGGCGGGGAAAGATGCTTGAGAATTGGCCATTGCTTGAATGCAAGTCTTATGAGGCTGTTGGTGGCAGCGTCCAGAAGCTTGCTGAATTCGTCCGCCATGATTTCGATAATCTTGCTGATGACAACAAATTTGAGAACTTTCCAGCCGATTTGGTCCATCATATCTGGGCCTTTTTCAGCCCCAATTCTGGTGGGCCTTCGTGATCACAGGACTGCACCTACATATTAGCATGAACGCAAATCAGCTATACAGTATGACTTACCCTCGAGGCTCCGAGTAAAGGCGGACAAAGTGAGGAGAAGGAAGATCACCACCTTATGCTAGGAGGCGATGAGAGGATGAAAAGGATGAAAAGGTGGCGGTATGAAGAGAGAAAGCCTGTGATTGTGTACCTGGGTAGCTACGCTATGCTATCTAGATACGGAAGGAACGGAACGGTTGCCAATGAGCAAGGAAGGCACGTAAACTCATGAATGACATACATCGTCATTGGCACTTTCCCAGTGTAAAAACTCGGATAAGGCGGATGGAGCCAGCGGTCAATATTTATTACTAGTAAAATGTATACAAAATGTATAACTACTAGTAGTTAGAACTACAGTCCCAAGTCGTTGCTGCATTTTGGCTGATAAACTTGAAATTAGTGTACACTCTGGCTATTTAAAAGCATCTCGTCCGCATGAACGGATTGCAAGGCATATATTTCATCACGAGGGTCCACTGAAGTTCTCGCTGAGAAAAAGTAAGTCATCACTATCCTGCCAATTCACATTAAATTCCATCGAATTCCATATCGAGAAGTCGAGGTCAAAATGTGGCTCCGCCTCCGGCGGAAGGACTGTCGTCGCTACTTCACGTTCGGCTTGTGCAGCGGCATGCCGTAGATTTGCCTTGATCATGCCCCTGGCCGCCACATCTGCGACAAAGTTATTAGCCATAAAGGACCGTGCTTTGCCCACGAACGGCGTGTCTTTGTTCCAGTCTTCGTAGTCAATCATATTTTCGATAATTCTGCAGACTCGCATGCATTGATTTCGTCGATCATTGGCCGTTTGAGAGATGTCCCTCATGAGGGTAAAGGTCTGTCTTATAATGTTTCTGACACCCGTTTCGTCTATTATTTGACTGGGTGCTGTTCCGAGTATGCGTAAGAGGAAGAAGACTGCGTAGCTTGCAGCGCGCAATACATGAAACGTTCCCTTTCTCAGTGCGTCGGGGAACGTTGCCAGCACTGCCAGAAGCTGCCTCGCCGTGATGCTGCTCTGTGCGATGATTTCATTCTCCGGGTGGATATCTTTCAGGGGCTCGGCTTTTTTTTTGGTCGAGAAAGTAAGCGTATAGACTGAGCCGGGCATCAAGGAATGACACTTCATCAGCAGGTGACCATTCAGACGCGTATTTGTCTTGTATCATGGAAAGCTCGGTTTCAAACATCCGCACGAACGGAAGCGGATCTGCCGCGAGTCCGGTGGTCGAGGTTTCACATTCCCCTAGGGCAGTTGAAATTTTTGAGGTGATGATAGCGATGTGTAGTTGAATCCTCATAGTCGTCGATACCCCGGGCATGGGGAAATTCACAGAATGAATAATTGAGTGGTCAATTCTGATGGAACCGGGTACTCCGAATCTCGCGGTATGCCTATAATGTAATCAGTGGGCTTCAAGACAGGCTTAGTGATAATATTACCATTGATCAATGATGAAACAAGATAGCCAGGTTATCCTCCGAACCTCCACGGTTCCGATCTCCGATGCCTTTGCAGCAAATAGAATGAACGGATATTGTGGACGATGCAAACCCAGAGACCGTGCCATGGAAATTGCGACTGCAGAATACATTGAGAACGGCTCTCTGTTCATGTCTTCATGGGGAAATGACCAAACACAAAGTAGAAGTAAAGCTTGAACAAGGTAAATGGATTTAGTACCAATGAGAATGATGTCTGCTATCAATTGCCTTGAAAGAATTTGCAACCGACTGTAGTCAGATGCATACTTCTCGGAGTCCTTGCTGGCAATGGCCAATACGACCCAGAACAACAACGGTGCTTTTTCGTAGCTATCCATTATGGCGCCAGGGTCAAGCAATAGCGGAAATCTTGGATCTACATGGGAATAGTACCTAATATGTTGTGAGCAAATAAAAGAGAGAAAAAAACAGCAATGACGGGACCTACTCTTCTAACAGTTCTGCCACAACACTGGATGTGAGGTGAACGCCGGTAGCTTCATGACTAAACCGAGCAGATCTTTTCCTGCCAACTCGCAATTCGGCAGTTATGCTTGCAAGAGACGCATTCAAGCCAGTTAAAGGTGTTTCCGGTCTCGGGGACAGATCAGGCGGCCTAGTACCTGATCCCTCGGATTGGGGTGTTCCGTATGCAGGCTCATCTCCCGTATATCCATGGCGGGGTTTTAGACTATTCGATTGGAGTGAATATTCGGCACAGAAAAAAAGGACACTGGGCGAAGTTTTACCTCCTCTTGTGTGTCCTTCTAAATGTAGGATCAACAGAGCACCGCTCATCCGCTTTTGCACAGGCCGAGCAAGGTGCAGGGAATCTTTGACTGGCATTGCATTTTACCTGAAGACATGATTAGCTTTCAACCTGCGATCGTTGGCTTTAGGAAAAAGGGCCATAGAGGAAACTGATTTTCACCTTCATCTGGCGACATCGCATACAAGGCACTCCGGCGCGGCGGGGCTTGATGCGAGAGGTCGAATTTCCATGCGAGCGAGCCGGTGTGGATTGGATATTCTCCATTCCGATTGACCAAGAATGAATGTCCTAAATCAACTCGTTGCTAAGCCACGATAAAAAAAAACCTCGAATAATCCGTCATCTGGCGAGTGAATGTTCATTGAAACATTGATAACAACATGGATGCCTACCTCTCCTTGACACGGCGTGGTTGTGAGCTGATCAGCATCGCATCCGGCGAAACTCGCCGGATGTAGCGTGATATCGCTGACACGTCTTATTCGTCATTCGAATCAGGCCCCCCACCCGCCTTGTCTTGGCTAGTGCCAGTATAGCTTTTGCCAAGAATCATCTTTAAGATCCGGTTATCAATAGCTGTTGGCAAATTACACTTCGCTGGATTATTGCTGCGTGATTCTTACGGCCGCTCAGAATAGAGACTGTTGCCTACAGCATGACGAAATTGAATGGGGGTGGGGCTGAAGAAAAGCGCCGCATCATTTCGCGTTATCTCCGTCTCCGAAGCATTGAAAATCAGGGCTGATGAGACTTTTGTGCTATTTTTGCTTTCCATCTTGATACATAATAGTTTGTGATTTATTTGAGGCCCAACGCTTTCTCCTTGAGCTAACAAATTACTGCATTCTGCCCGCCGAACCGAGCCGACCCTCTTACCTGACCAGGTACGTACTACTTGTATACTTACAGCACCCACAGGCATACTTATTTCAAGTCATATATACTAGTATATCCATCTTATTCTGTCACCGAGGCACAACTCAATTTGGACCTCAAGAACCTTCGATAGTATTTTGGGCTGATTGAACTTCCCACCCCAGCGTGCCCTCTTACAAACCGATAACTCCTCTGGTTACTTCCCACGGACTTTGCGACCATTTGCTCAACTCAATGAAGCTATTAACTCGACCTGCCTACGAAACACTTCTCTTCGTGTCTCTTGCGATAGCTCATGATAACGATGGATCAATGGATATAGACACAACAATGAGGGCAGTGGATGTGCACGCAAGTTCTATTATCGCAAACCCAACAGCTCCCGTCGCACGCAATAGCCAAGACCAAGGTCCTACGAGCTACTTTTCCTATGGCGAGTACTCGAGCACCATCCTGGCGCATATTGTGCTGATGACCATAGGATGGTGCTTCATTCTTCCTGCAGGTAAGCTAAATTCTAGTTCTATCAAATATCGAAAACGCGACTAACTCCACGGCAGTCGTTCTACTTAGTACTGGCCGTTCGCGCCTTGCGCTGCCGTTGCATTTTCTATTCCTAGTCTTCAATGCCCTCAGTCTACTTTTTGGAATCATCTATAACAGTCAGACCCCCGATTTGTACGAGTATAACGCCCACCCCAAGATCGGTTGGATTGTGTCATGTGTCATGACCTCACAGATTGTCCTGGCCTTGATATTTGTGTACAATGGTCGAGGCGAGTCCAAGCTGCGGCAATGGAGATCTTTCAATCGTGTTGCGTTTATCCCTGTCGCTACAGATGAGCAACAATACCACTCGTCCGGCGAAAGTACCCAGGGAACTGAATCAAGTTTGTCGATTCGCAGTCCTCCACTGTCAGACTACGATTCGCAAGCCGACTATGATGGCTTCGAAAACCCCGAAGATCCCCATCCACTACGTCGCTGGCTTAATATTTCTGTTGTCAATCGATTCCTCGCAAAACCCATGTCTGGAAAAGCCTCGGACAGCATTCTACGCATTTCCAATAGCCTATATGATGTGATCGATCGTATCATTCTTCCATTTGGCTTTATTGCTATTGTCACAGGGGCTGTTACTTACGGTGGCATATTCAAGAGCGGCGAGATATTCAATGGCCTAGCGCACTTTATAAAAGGTGGAATCTTCTTTTGGTATGGTATTCTCACCCTTGGACGCTTTATCGGAGCTTGGGCAGATCTAGGGTGGGCCTGGAACAAGAAACCCCCAGAAAGTGTCGTCGGTTGGAAAGCCAAAGTCCCATCAGGCGAGTTTGTGGAGTCATTTGTTATCTGGCTGTACGGCACCAGCAATGTCTTCTTAGAGCACCTGGCTGGCTGGGGGAAAGAGTGGACGGTATCTGATATGCAGCACGTCTCTATTTCTATCATGTTCTTTGGTGGTGGTCTTGTCGGCATGCTCTTTGAATCCCAGCGTATTCGGGACATGTTAAACAACACCTTGTTACGCTTACGGCCCCTTCCTTGTGAATCTGATGAAGAGTTCTGGCAGCCTCCTAAGTCACAGGGGGCTCACATTAATCCGATGCCAGCTCTTATCATCATGCTGCTAGGGTTGATGATGGGATCCCACCACCATGACAGTATGACTTCGACTATGGTACACAAACAATGGGGCAATATGCTCGTGGGATTCGCGATTGCTCGCGGAATGACGTACGTCCTGCTATTTCTGCGTCCATCAACCTCGTACCTCCCGGCTCGTCCCCCCACTGAGATCGTGGCTGCATTTTGCCTTATATCCGGAGGACTCATATTCATGCTCAGTGTAAGTTACTACTGCAAATCTAATAGGGCCGCTCCACTAACAGTGAATAGGCCCGTCAAGTGATCGAATCCATGGAGTTCTATGAGCTGGACGCCATGTTTACCTTCACCGTGGGAATGGGTTTCACAGCCTTTATTATGTCGCTGGTGGTTCTTAATATCGCAATCAGGGCGTGGGCCTTGAATCGTGCCAGTGAGGGTACACAAAATAGACCGCTATCCTGAAAATAATAAAGATTTGGAGAGGCCATTGAAATATATACGGGCGTCATTGGGACGTGAAGATTTGAGCTAGGATGGTATGTAAAAAATGAAATTTAGGGAGAGAACCAAGAGCGCAGTGGGCACAGAACAAAATGCTATATGATCGGACGGATACTTTAACAAGAATTAATTGACTGCGAGAGACTAAATACACGCGTTGAATGCACCCATTGACGGAGCTATTTCAAGATGGGGGTAGATGGAAAAGCGCCGGCTCTGCTGCGGAATCATATCAGTGCTACATTCCTCGTAATTAACCAATGAATAGGATCCTACCAGAGAAATTTCCCGTTTAAATTCCAAGAAGCTATTCACGTTCAATGAAAAAGACCGTCTTGATCACCTTGGAAAACACCTAGTCGATGGAAGCGCAGCCAGCCTTGCCCGTTTGTGCGCGCATTATATAGCCCCCTAAGATCTTCAAGATGTTCGTTCAGAAGATATAGCGAAAATAAAATAGTTACCGCCACTATCAATGCAATCCAAATTCCATTATGCATGATGAAGTCGGGACTCCGAATTCAAGTCGCTGTTGAACACTGCCAGCGCGACTATGTGTTCCCTAGCGCAGGAACCTGAGTTTCTCAATAATATTGGTTTAAGCTATCGATTCTTAATATGAGTGGCGATCTTGTGAATAAGTAGGCAGCAAGATAAAAAATTCGAACAAAGACCAATTTATATGGGGTCAGATGGGGCAGCAACTTGAAGTGTCTACTGACTAGTGTGGCTGTGGAATGCATTACTGGTCCAGCGATCATCCAGCGAAAATCTAGCGCACATCCAGCGAAAGTTCGCCTAATATCCAGAGAGCATCCAGTGAAGCAAATTTCTATTTTAACATTGCCTTTTTCTATTATCCTTTTCTATTTGTAACATACGGCGTCTTTTTACCTTTCAGAATCCGTTTTGCTCTCCATCTAGTCATTCTTCCTTATACATTCTATTTTCTCTCACAGATTGAGGCACGGATCTAACGTCTTAGTCTCCTTTTCGACCTAATAACCCGAGGCTGAATAAGAGGTATCGCCCTCTACGTGAATCTCGAGATCTCAAAACTTGAAAGACACGGGATACTACCTTGCTGAGACGATTTGACGACCCAGATTTGTGGTTTAATGAAGTAGTCGCAATCGTCTCCCAATTTGACTGATCTCAGCCATCATCATGCGGCGCGGTCTTTCGATATTTCTCCTCGCCTGCTTTCTCGGTATCGTTCTCCTGGTTCGCAATATCTGGACACTTTTATCGCTACTTGTCGAAGATGCTACCGCTGACGCGATCCACCGTGCCGAATTGCCTTCTCTGAACTCCAGCCTGATCGACCAACGCCCCCAGATCATTCCTAAAATAATTCACCAGACTTATAAAGACAAGAGTATTCCTGATGTCTGGTTTGGCGCCCAAAAGAGCTGTATTGACCTGCATCCAGACTACGAGTATATTGTACGACTCCCATTCGACCCGACCGGAATTGGTGCTAATGAACGTTTTAGTTGTGGACGGATGAGAAATCGCGTAATTTTATCGCTGCCAAATATCCCTGGTTCCTTAAGACTTTTGATGCCTATAAATATCCTATCCAGCGCGCAGACTCAATTCGCTATTTCGTTCTGGCCTATTATGGCGGAACTTACATTGATTTGGACGACGTATGTTTACCCAGAAATAATGATTCCTCATACACATGGTCTAACTCGCACCAGGGCTGCAATCGTCGCTTGGATCCCCTGCTGGCTTACCCAGCATGGCTACGCCGCACTGTGCCAACTGGGATCTCCAATGATGCAATGGGCTCTGTGCCCCAGCACCCCTTCTTCCTGCGCGTAATCGAATTACTCCAGCAGTACGATCGCGACTGGCCTCTCCCCTATATCACCGTTATGTACTCCACCGGGCCACTCTTCCTGTCAGTCATCTGGAAAGAGTATATCCAAGACCCTCCGTCCGAAGCGAACCGTATCCGTGTTCTTATGCAGGATGAGTACAAGAAGCACCCTTGGAGTTTCTTCACCCACCATGTAGGAAACAGCTGGCACGGCAACGATGCGCAGTTAATTTTCTGGGTAAATATATACCGAGTCCCATGTCAAATCATAGCTTACAAACATAGATGGGCCAACACTGGATGCTCCTCACTTTCTGCGGCATCCTCCTCGCTTTCGCCGTCGGCTGCTGCCTCCTCTGTGCCTATGGTCGAATTGTACGACGAGGGATTCAGTATCGATACAGCTATTCCAAGGTCCCTTTCTTTTCAGAGCGCTACATACATGATGTATAGTCATGTGAGATATCCAGGGCTTGAATATGTACTAGTATAGTATTTGCGAATTAATTTGGCGGAATCTAGGTCTTCATACTATTGGAAAGAAGAACCGTACCTACACATTTTATTACCACCCCAGTAACAGATTACTAACTAGTACCTACTAGTTAGTAGGCGACTATACTTTGAAGAAAAAGGACATTCAAATTCTGTCCGGGACTACAAGCTTGACGGAATAACCTTCGAATTCTTTCTCCCATTAAGCATTTGGGCGGAAGATAACCTTCTCACCAGATACACCATCCTTGTTCAACTTCAAAGCTGCCTCCACCGCCTCAATACCACCATCAACTACTCGCACCCGGTTAGGGACAAACAATCCCTTAGCAATCCATCCATCCGCACCTCCAAGGTAGCGCGCCATAGGCACACTCAGATGTCGTAGAGCTGGGTTGCTCCCAATACCCAGAATCATCTTGATATTGACTTGAGGTGTCTTAGACTGACCCAATTTCTTCGCCTCCTCATTAGCACTCTGCACCACAACCACATTCTCCCCAACCCCGCTCGCCTCGACGATCTGAACACCCAACGCCTGTGTTTCCGGACCCGAGATTGAGTCAAACACATAGCGCAGCGGCAGATCTCCGCTCGCAGCCTTGAATTCCTTCGCCGTCGCCGCCTTGCGATCCAGGACAACGTGCGCGCCCAGGCTCTTCAAAAACTCGTGGTGAATCACACTGGCATTGGTAATAATCCGCGTGAAGCCGGATAGGCGCGCAAACTGGATAGCGTACTGTCCCACGCTGGAGGAACCGCCGATGATCGCGATCGCTTGGTCCTTTCCAGCATTGCTGCCATTGGGCGCCCAAGGCGGGGTGATTCCGTGACCTGTCTGGTCATAGAAGCCAGCGACGACTGCCATAGTCGCGAGACTGATACCAGCTGCTTGGTCGTCGGTTATGTTGGAAGGGGTCTGGGAAACCAAATCCGCGGGCATAGAGCAGTACTGCTGGAAGGTTGAGGCATCGTAGTCGCCGATGATTCCCTGGAAGAAGACACGCTCGCCGACCTTGAGATTGGTGACCTCGGATCCTACGGCAACGACTTCGCCGGCAGCATCGGATCCGAGGACAGCCGGGTACTCCTTGATGAAGGCATTGTAGTCGCGAATCTTCCAGTCGACGGGGTTGATGGCAGTGGCGGTGATCTTGATCGCTACATGGCTGGGTTGAAGGGGTTGGAGTGATCGGTCTTCTATCTTGTGTTGCGCAAATGGTTCAGGGACCACGGCGGCTTTGAATGACGCGGGAATGCTCATTTTTATTTTCGTTCAAGTTTGTGATGTTGGAGAGATGATGAATTGGAGAAGGAATTCTTCATGTCGTCACACTGAGTGGGGACCTCAAATACCCCACACCTCCGAGTCGTCACTGTGATTTATAATCGTTAAATTGTTGATATTAACCAAGGTAATGGTATGTACATAATAGAAGAATTAACAGACTGGTTATGACAGGCTTTAATTTCTCGTGTCTTGGTCTTTTTTTTTCTACATTATTTAGTCTTTGGATGCTGTTCGGTAGTAATTTCACTTAAAAACTCACCGGCACTCGACTTGCCCGTTACCATATATCCAGTGAATGTATCCATTCCGAGTCTACCACCTTGCTACTACCTAGGTAGTAGTATCTGATCTTTTCCTATAGCACATTATGCCACCATTCCGATTCTCCGAGTCAATCCCAATTACCTAGGTATGTCACAACAATATTTGGATTGATATAGCATTTAGACATGTAAATCTTTTAATATAATGCCGTACTAGTTTAAACACATCTAGTCATTTTAAAACCTTGGAAGATGCCATTTCGAACCCACATCCTGGAAGGCCCCTGTCTCGTTAAACAGTCGTCTTAGAATGATTCTCCGGGCTCATTTCTTCCATCTCACCTTCTCCAACCGACCGGGGCAGACGCTGCGCCACTCTCACCGAGTCCCAAATGCTAGTAGACTTGATGAAAATCTGATCAACTTCTTCCAAACTCCTCCCACCCGTTTCCGGGAAGAGAAAATATACCACAACCACGATCAAGGCATTTAATCCGGCAAAAACGATGAAGAAACGCCACTGGATAAACCCAATGGCAATCGGAGTGACTTCCACGATTAAAACGCAAAATGCCCAGAAGGTACCAACAGCCAAAGCATTGATCGTGGCTCGGTGGTGTAATGGAGCGATTTCAGTGGCATAGAGGAATGACACCCCGCCAAATCCACCAACGAATAGCATATGATATATGAAGACAAACACCACCGCCCCGTGCATCGCCTTGGGATTCTCCGGCTGGGAACCAAGAGCAGCAATGAATGACATGCAGATGCAGTTTCCCGCCGCACTCCCAAGGAGTAAGATCCGGCGGCCCAGTCCTTCAATAGTGAAGACGCAGATCGTGCCCGTGATGAGGCTAGTGAGCTGATACATCGCTGCCAGGATCCTCGACTTGACTGGGTCCAGATGCAGATAGGTTTCAAAGATCGTAGTTGCTAGATTAAAAAAGAGTTAAATCAGGGCATCGACCTTGCAAACGAGAGGTTATCTGACTCACCGTAAAAAGTCATGGCGTTGAACCCGGTGAGCTGCATGAACATCATCACCATCACTGCCAACGCTGCCCGGTGGATTACCCGCTGGGGGCCCATGTGAAGGATTTGCCCTAGTGATCCCCCACCAGCCAATTGAAGAGAAGATTTAACTTGTTTAATTTCACCTTCAATTTTCCCATTTCCAATGCTCATATCATCCAGCGCTGAGAGGACCACGCGGGCCTCGGCGATGCGATCCTTACGAATCAACCATCGCGGTGATTCTGGTAGAAAGTAAACAAATCCCAGAACAATGAGAGAAAACAGCACAGGAATTGCTGCAGGAAAACGCCAGCCAACACCACCAGACGCAAACGACAGTCCAAAATCCACCAAAAGAGCAATAGTTGCTCCCAGGCCGGCGGAAAGCCCGGCCGTGGACACATTAGCACCACGCCTTTTGGACGAGGATATTTCCGAAAGCCAGACAGGCGCTGTGGCCATCAGGCCGCCTGTGCCGAGCCCGAGAATGATACGAGAAACGATGAGGTGTTCGAAGGCAAACGCGCTTGTCAACAAGACCGCTCCGATCAGCTGGACCACGGCGGAAGCCATAATGACTCTTCGACGACCAAAGACATCTCCTAAACCAATGCAGCCGAGAGCGCCGAATAGACCACCCATGGCGTAAAGGGCTACCACGGTGCCTTGAATGGCCGATGTGCGGCCCTTTTCTTGGGGTGCGGCATCAACCACACTGATTTGTGAGAACTGTTTCTCGAACGCATTTAATGTCAGGACTCCACCCAATAGAGCCTGATTATAGCCCAAAGCTATGAAAGATGGCATCATCACGCCTAACAGCCCAGCGAGGCTAAGGCGATTGCCTCGTAGACCCAAGAATGGTGCCATTTTGCGAAGATCGAGGACAAAATGTTGATTCCAGTTGATCTAAACTGTCTGATCTCTCATCAGTCTTCGGAACCCTTTGTAAAATAATTTATTCTGGCTTTAGCATGACCGTAGTCTCTCTTTTCAAAGACTGGCCTCCGTTACTGGTCTGTGGCTTCCACATTCCATTCCGTCATACTCGATCTCCAGCCCGCAGATCCCTACGCCAACTATCATTTCGCCTGTAACTCCGATGCCAAGTAAGAATTGAGAGAACATCATGCAATGCAGTGATAGAATTGATTGTGGGTAAGTTTAAGATTCAAAGGCTAAAGGAAAATTCCTCGATTATTACCGGCTTCGCAATCTAGGGTTGGTCCATCATGGAAAGAAGGGGGCTACTTTGATGGGTTGTTCAATATGCCCAACCTCGCCCTTTTTGGAAATGGGTTCAATCTAAGCCTGCACATTAGCCGGACTGCCCCCACAATTCCCGAAATGAAATCATGAACTATGGGCTGAAGCTTACAGGGGTATGGGATGGCGGTGCAGAATCCGATCTGAATTGCTGGATCTGAAACACTCCGGCGACGTTGCATTCACATTATACACCGTCCCCGACCTCGTAGAACTTGTTCCATCGCTGCTCATTAATATTAGTACGATGCTCAATACAGTGGTGTTGTAAAAGTTTGAAACACCACTGTACACACGAACAATTGAAAGGGGTCCACGTACCGTGTCAAATGGCTTCGACGAGTCAACAAATCTCAAGTCAGTAGCTAAGCGAATGATTCGATCGGGATCATTGTTGATAGTGGAAGCATGAATCTGAACGCGAGACAATTAGCATGCCAAGTTCCGGGCCGTGCGAAGGGGTGTCAAGTCTATTCATACAGTATGTGGCTTATGCAGAACGATATCCCCGGCCTCATAATCGGCCACTAACCAAGCTCGTTGATGTTCCCGTGCAAATGCGAGGGGGTTTTCTGACAGCAAACCTGTGGACATCATGTTTGTGTTGAATGCGTCCTTGGCTTCTTCGCCCGTGAGGCCGGAGGCCTTTGCTTTGCTGGTAAAATCCTCTTCGGTTTTTTGACCAAGGGGTTCGCCTGGAAGTTGTCAGCTGGAATTGACTATGGTTGACACAGGAGTCACAAACTGTTTTGTAGGTAGATGAGGCCGCCACCAGTTAATTTGATGTCCCCGATCGGCACCCACGCGGTCACACTTGTCGGCTCTCCATGGCGCAAGAAGATCTGGTCATAGTGGACTCCAATAGGTTTTGTTCCAGGAATGTTGTTTCGCAGAAGCGACCGTCGCAAACCCAGCGTATTTGAGTCCCATCCGGTGAATCGAGCAATGAAGCTGATCAAGGCTGGGTGACGACAAAAGTCCTCCGCATACCAATCTCGGTAGTGAGCATCGATAGCTATGTCGACGAACTGAGCGGCTTTTGAACCTCCCGGCCGACCGTTTTTTCCGGCAGCCCCAGCACCGATACCTGGGAATTCCTCACATGATTTGAGAGGATTGAAGATGCCTTGGACAGGTTGGGTAGCCTCTTTCAGAACCCCTGTTGGCTGCATCATAGTGAAGTATTCACTTCGGGCCTTTAAGACATCTTCCCGCGGAATCAGACCTTTGAGGAACAGATAGCCATCCTTCTCATAGCGTTGGCGTAGCTCTTCAAGAGGCTCATCTTGTCGCGAGGAGTGGAGGAGCTGAACATTCTCAGGCTGTAGTGCGCCATCGTTGACGGCCAGCAATCCTGGTTGGCATTCGAGCGGCAGCTGCATACTCGGTCAGTGAAGAGACGAATTGATTGATCGTGCTTTTGAGGACAATCTGAGTCTATGGAGTTGTTATTTATACTTGTAGCGTTGTATGCAGAATCATCTATGTCATCTGATAGTAACCCGCCCCGTCCTCTTAGATGAATTAGTTATGGAATCATGGGATTCGCCATAGTGGAGACTCAAACGATTAAAGATCAATAAAGTCTCATCAAGTCGCCCATGCGCGGACTTTAAAGTCTCGCAATTCACCCGACGAGTTCAAACTGAGGGAGGTTCCCCCCGCAGCGCAACGAGGCACGGACGGGCCGACGCGCCTGCGGGCAATTCTTCCCTTTTCCAACCACTTCAAGGCAAGGATCGCCCGCAAGGATCAGAAGTCACCCCAGATTTAATGCGTTACGAGCAATTCCTCCCGCCGTCTTAGTTCCTCCTCCCATCCCCTCTCTGGTATTGAGACTCGGAGTGACGCCGAGCTGGAATCCGGGGATGGATTTCCCCAGGAATATCCCCCACACCATCCGGGGTGGCCTCGGCTCTAGACTCGGTCGCTTCATCGAAAAGCTATATAACATGTCACCCGGGTACCAGCTCTTGGACGATTCTGTCCAGCCTCCAGCCACCATGTTCTCTCTCAAGCAAACCAAACTCATTCGACCGCCCCCGGACATTGATCCGTCACAGCCGCGTCCAGGGAGCACATCCTATCTCTATGCTGTCACAGTATTTGTCTCCCTCGGCGCTTTCCTCTTTGGATATGACCAGGGGGTTATGGGTGTGATCGTCGCAGACCAGCGATGGATTGACTTGATGCAACCGGCCAACTCCTGTGGGTAGATCCTAGGACAATGAGGAGTGTTGTCAGTGGTGCTGATTTAAAGCAGGGGTCACCGGGACTGTCGTGTCTCTCTATGATGTTGGATGTTTCATCGGTGCAATGTCTTTGGGATATTTGGCCGATCCACTTGGTCGCGAACGTACCCTGTCGATTGCCTGCATGGTCTTCATCGTGGGTGCCCTTATCCAAGCGGCTTCCTATACAATCACGCAAATTGTATGTTCTGAACCACGCAAGATATCAATGCTTCACTAACAAAGAAGACAATTGGTCGTGTTATCTTAGGGTTTGGTGTCGGGGCTTGCGCTGGTGGTGTACCTCTTTATGTTGCTGAGCTGTCACCCCCAGCAATTCGAGGTCGCATTGTGGCCATCGAGCAGATGATCCTTTGCTTCGGCGAACTAGTTGCTTTCTGGTTGAATTATGGTTTCAATTTTCTAGAGATGGATGACTGGTGGCGCATCCCCTCGCCATTCAAATTTTGCCCGCATTGGTCCTGGCCATTGGCTGCTGGTACTGGGTACCCCCCAGTCCACGTTGGCTAGCCAGCCAGGATCGTCATGAATGTGCTCGGGAAGTCCTCATCCGTTTACATGGGACAGAAGCTGCAGAAATCGAGATGCTGGAGATTATGGGCTCTATTGAGTTTGAGCACACGGTAAGTGAAGCCTCGTGGGGGGACATGTTCAAGATGCCGGTGCTACGCGTAACTCTTCTTGGAATGGGCGTGCAATTCCTACAGCAAATCACGGGCACCAATTCAATCCTTTACTACACGGTAAGTAGGCCCCGGATATTCAATTCAATGAAATCCCCGTTCTGGTCAAAGCTCGGAATCATAGCTAATGCCAATTTAGCCATCTCTCTTCGAGCGTGGCGGCATTACAAACCCACGGACAGCCAATCTCGCTACCGGCGGCGTAGGAGTCGTTCTTTTTGTCTTCTCCTGGGTACCGATCTTTTACTTTGACCGGCTGGGTCGAAAGACCTGGCTTCAAATCGGAACCGTAGGCATGATGGGAGCTATGATCGGGATTACTGTGTTACAGTGGCACGCAGAACACAACCCGGGTGACAGTGCCAACTACACGATTATCATGTTCCCGTATCTCTTCTACGTCTTTTTCAATATCAGTTGGGGCGTTGGGTCCTGGACTTACGCGGCTGAAATTTTCCCCGTTTCGATGCGAGCAAAGGGCAATGCCCTCACGACGGCGTCCCTGTGGGCTGCTTGCTACATCGTTGCTCAAGCCAGTCCTCCCATTGCTGATGCAATTGGCTGGGGATTATATATCATCTACACCGGGATCTGCGTTGTTGCATTCCTCTTTGTTCGATATTGTCTAGGTTCGTGTGGTGTTAATAAGGCAACGTCGCTAATGAAAAAACAAATGAAGCGAACGAGGCTAACGTATGACTACTACAGTTGAAACCCGTGGACGAACCCTGGAGGAAATGTCGCGCCTCTTCGGCATCGAAAGTAGTCTGGCGGAGCGTAGCGGTATCAAATTAGCGACTGAGGAGCATATAGAGGATACACACGCATCTACGTCCAACTTGTGAATAGCATGGAGAATGATGAGTCTACTGTACCGCAATTCGACTTCCACGGTTTCGACCTCACCATATATACGGCGCTCGATAGGCGCAGGGTTGTCAGTAGTTCAAGTTCTATATAGGGGTTTCTTACCTGACCGCCTCAAAAGCCGCCTGTAACTTCAAGTTGTCAGTATAAAATCACCAGTGTTCTATATAAAAATTTGAACAAAAATACAGAGGTACCGCAAGAGTTCCAATACCAGTACTCTCTAATTAACTACTATTATCTACTATTGTCTAATAGCAGACCAGTACCTACCTAAGCCAGAGTAGAGTAGCCAATATATTCCATCTCAGGTAGGTACTAGTTCCATTAGAAAGATAGAGACTAGGGCGGTTACTAGAACACTAGGAATTTTAGACTGAGAGGTTACAGACAGCTTTCAAGACGGTCAGGTAAGATACCCCTATACACAACTGCTGACCACCCTGCGCCTATCGAGCGCGTTACATATGTTTATACCAAATTCGAACTTGACTTCGATTACTGCTTGCTCATGTTGCGATCGCGACTTCGCCGGCAGTTGGTGGTGGTGGTGGTGGTGGAGCGTAGATCGTTGGGTGGTGGGGCGGCGGGGTGAAGCTGCAGAGCGATCTGATGTCGTGGAGCTGGATGAAAAATAGAGGAAGATCAATGGGGACTGTAGAGCTCTGCATTATTGAGCATGAAATCAAGTACATATCGTACAGTGACGTTGCAAAAGTTTGAAACCCCATATTGCCCAAGATTTACCGCCTACTAATGGGAAACTAGTAGCTACCTGAGATGGATATATTGGCCTATCTATTCCATCTCATGTAGCTACTAGCCAGCGACTAGAAGGAAACAAGAACGGTCAACATGTGGTTTCAAACCTTTGCAATGCCACTGTATGTGAGCCGTAGTACCGGTGCGGACTTGAGATGCCGTGGGCTGACCCGAGCAACAGAATAGCCAAGGAATAATGGGATAATTAGTTGACCTAATTAGTCCATCGGTTCGCGGAATCAACAATGGCTTGAGTTTTGAATTTTGAATTTTGAATTTTTGAAAATTCAAAAAAAAAAAGTCTCTCTCTCTCTCTTTCATTCTCTCTCCCTTGTAAATCCGCCCTGCGGTAACAATAGACAGCCTATCCACGAACCATTTTACCGATCACGATATTCACCTCAACACTGTTGTCTCTTGTGATTCCCTTCCCCAGCCCTTTGGCGAGGGTAGCGGTGTGCGCTGTGTAGTGCGTGCACGCGTGCGTGCTTGGTCCACATGTCAGGGGTGCAGACCGCCGATTGCCCCGCTATCCGGGCACGGTTCACCGAGGGGCACACACAGATATTATAATCCTGGGGGACCGTAGAAGCCGATTTGTCGGGTTGTTTTTCATCTTCTGTGGCTGTATGAGGATCAAGGAAGATTATCTTGCGCCATTGGATATGAGAGATGGCAATTGCAGCATCAATGGCCAGGCTGTCGCCCCCAGTGGGAGATCGGGGAGATTAGGGTAGTAGAGTGAGCCAGGCACCGGAAGCGGAGAGGATCCATCGACTCCATGGGGAATGGAATGGGCCATTCTGGCAGACCTCAACCAATGATTGGTCCACTTCGACAGGCACCACAGTCGGCAGTCGTTTGTCCCCCGACTAAATTGATCCACACCGGAACGATGGGCGAATGGATCTCCTATGCAGGACGAGTAGGCACCGGATGTCCGTCGCCCGGAGGACCTCGAAAATAATCCAAATTATGATCACAAGCGAAGAGGTGATTGGCGGGAGTTCAATCATGGAATTGATAGTCTAACCCTATAGCCCAAAGAGTAAAAGATAATAAAAAAAGGGGGAGGAGTAAGAGAGGAGACCAGGGAAGAGGGGAGAATCTACTGGGAACCCCCAGAGCCAGGCGGAGCTCACGTGTCTTTCTTTTTATTTAAAACAACCCTCCATTTACTCCTTCCTTTCCTTTTCTTTCTTCAGTTACCAACATTGCTCCAGTATCACTTCAACCTTCCGGTTCGTAATTAAGCCTTGTCAGCAGGTTCGATCACTCTCTTGGGACGTGATCACTTACAACCGTCACCATTTTCTCCACACATCTTAACTCGTGAGTTTCCTGCTTCTCCTGGTCTTCCCCAAGTCCCCTATGGCTAACTTCTTCCTTTCCAGGCGGCACCACCCGTTTAACGGCCGACGCACTTCCAGCCGTGGAGGAGCGCCGGATAACGCATTACACATTCTGTAAACCGTCCAGCTTCTAGCTACATTTTCAATTCCTCGCCTCCGCTATGGCTCCTCACGCTAGCTCGGACGCCAACGCCCTAAACGGGTCGGTTCGCCAAGAATCCTCGCCTCTCTTTACCGTCCAGTCTCCCAATGTGGAGTATACCGCCGACGAGATCAAGAGTCGCTATGCCTATCAAACTACCGAAGTCACCCGCACTGCGGACAACAAGCTGGTTGCTACCCCCAAGGCTTCCAACTACCACTTCAAAGTCGACCGCAAGGTCGGCAAGGTTGGTATGATGCTCGTCGGCTGGGGTGGAAACAATGGTTCCACTGTCACTGCCGGTATCCTCGCCAACCGCCGCAACCTCACCTGGGACACCCGGGAGGGTAAGCAAAAGGCCAACTACTACGGTTCGATTGTCATGGGCTCTACTGTCAAGCTGGGCACTGATGCCAAGACCGCCGAGGAGATCAACATCCCCTTCCGTGACATGCTTCCGATGGCTCACCCCAACGATCTGGCCATTGGTGGTTGGGACATCAGCGGGATGGACCTGGCTGCCTCTATGGACCGTGCCCAGGTTCTCGAGCCCACTCTCAAGTCTCTGGTTCGCAAGGAGATGGCTGAGATGAAGCCCCTGCCCAGTATCTACTACCCTGATTTCATTGCCGCCAACCAGGAAGGTCGTGCCGACAATGTCCTTGAGGGTAGCAAGGCCTGCTGGGAACACGTCGAGAAGATCCAGAAGGATATCCGGTAAGTGAATGCCAAACAATCAACTATCAGAAGCAGAGGCACATGGATATTGAATACTAACTCTTCATAAAGTGATTTCAAGGCTCAAAACGGTCTGGACAAGGTCATCGTCATGTGGACTGCCAACACTGAGCGGTACGCCGACGTCATTCCTGGCGTCAACGACACCGCTGAGAACCTGCTCAACTCGATCAAGAGCGGTCACGCAGAGGTCTCTCCCTCGACCGTCTTCGCAGTGGCTTCCATCCTGGACAATGTTCCCTTCATCAACGGATCTCCCCAGAACACCTTCGTTCCCGGTGCTCTCCAGTTGGCTGAGCAGCGCAAGGCTTTCATCGGTGGTGATGACTTCAAGTCTGGTCAGACCAAGATGAAGTCTGCTCTGGTTGACTTCCTGATCAACGCTGGTATCAAGGTCACCTCCATTGCCAGCTACAACCACCTGGGCAACAACGACGGCAAGAACCTGAGCTCGCAGAAGCAGTTCCGCTCCAAGGAGATCTCCAAGTCCAACGTCGTTGACGACATGGTTGCTGCCAACAGCATCCTTTACGAGAAGGACGAGCACCCCGACCACACCGTCGTCATTAAGTACATGCCGGCCGTTGGTGACAACAAGCGTGCTCTGGACGAGTACTATGCCGAGATCTTCATGGGTGGCCACCAGACCATTAGTCTGTTCAACATCTGTGAGGACTCTCTGCTTGCCTCTCCCCTGATCATCGACCTGGTCGTGCTCGCTGAGATGATGACTCGTGTCAGCTGGAAGGAAGACACTGAGGGTGCCGAGTACAAGGGCTTCCACAGCGTGCTGAGCGTCCTCAGCTACATGCTCAAGGCCCCTCTGACTCCCCCGGGTACCCCCGTAGTCAACGCTCTGGGTAAGCAGCGTTCCGCTCTGATCAACATCTTCCGTGCTTGCGTTGGTCTCCAGCCTGAGTCGGAGATGACTCTCGAGCACAAGCTGCTGTAAGTACACCATTCATCTTAAACGATGATAGTGTCTACCTGGCTCTGTTGAGCTACTCTCGGTTATTCTTATCCCGAACTTCCAACTAGTTGTCACTCATTAATCAATGCGTTCGATATTCATATCCACTCAAGGAAATCTTCCAAAGTAGAAAACTATCTCAATAATTCCGCCATAACAACCGTACTAGTAGTAACAAACGGTCTATTTAGTGGCACCCAGCTCCGAATACGCATTCAAAGCCAGCTGCCCACCAAGATGCGCATACAAAATATTCCCACCCTTAATCTCACCCTTCTTAATCATATCAACCATCCCCGCAAAGCTCTTCCCTTCATAAACAGGATCAGTAATAAACGCCTCCATCTTAGCCGCATACTCAATAGCATCCCAAGTTTGCTGATCCGGAATCCCATAAATCCCAGCATGATACCTATCATCAAGAATAACATCCTCATCCGTAATATCCTCCTCCTTAAGCCCTATCTTAGCAGCCGTATTCCGCGCAATCGCAACACCTGAACCCGCGTCGCCTCCACCGTCGCCGAAGCATCAATCCCAATAACCTTCCGCTTGGGATCATCCGGATACAACCGTTCAAGCAACTTAAATCCAGCAATCATCCCGGCAAAAGTCGACCCCGTCACCGCGCACACGAGAACAGTATTGAAGAATATACCCTGCTCCTGCTCCTGCTGTCGTACTTCGAACGCCCACCGCGCAAATCCCAATCCACCAAGTGGGTGGTCCGACGCACCAGCCGGGATGTAGTAAGGGCGATCACCATTAGCCTTGCACTCCTCCACAACAGCCGCAGCGGTGTTCTTATGCTCGATGCCAAATCCGGACGGATCGAGACGAACATCCGCGCCCATTAGACGAGATAACTGGATATTGCCAACAGAGTCATAGCCCTTATCTACCCAGTCGACCCAATGTTCCTGGACCAGTTTGGCTTTGAGACCGGATCGGGCTGCGACTGCTGCGACCTGGCGGGTGTGGTTGGACTGGACGCCGCCGATTGAGACGAGTGTGTCGCAGTTTTGGGCCAGGGCGTCGGCGAGTAGGTATTCTAGTTTGCGGGTTTTGTTGCCGCCGTAGGCGAATGCGGAGTTGAGGTCGTCGCGCTTGGCGTAGATGTTTACTTTGGCGTGTGGGGTGGTTGAGGCGAGATCGGCGGTTATGCGGGGGAGGAGGTGTATCGGCGAGGGGCCGAGGAGGAGGGGGGTGCGTGGGATTGAGGAGAAGGGGGCTGGGAGGGGGGAGGTCTTGGGTTTGGTTTGAGTTGGACATGATGATCATGAATGTAGAGGGTTTGAGATGTCAATGGCAATTTCGATATTTTGGTCAATCTGTCGTCCATCTCGGCCCTCTTTATACGCGCTGTTCAGGAGGGGGTGTATCATCACTCTGGTAGGAGAGAAAGCCGTACGCCTTAATGATATCCATTTTGAGTTAAGTGTCGGGCTATCTTTGGAGTACATATTACATCCTCCGAAATGGCCCCGAAGTCGGTCTTCTTCCTGCGGAGACGGTGGAGTCGTCGAGATAGTGTTCGCTGCATTGGGGTTCCCTAAGGTTTGTGGCATGATGGTCGAGATAACGTGCTATCTGGTGGCTGATGTGGTGGGTCCCCTCAGGGTGATGGTCTTCTTCAGGAACAGACAGATATGAACAGTTTCATAGATATGGAGTTTTGGATTAGGATTCGTGACACAGCGCTCAATTATCGAGTATCGTCCAGAATCGTAGCCTTAGATCTGGTCAACAATATACACCCACAAGGTGCTGCGGGGTGAGGACCTTGGAAGAACCTTGCCAACCTACAAAGATGGCTTGGGCCCACGATCTTCGCAAAATGAAATAATACCTACAGATCATAAAGTTTGCACTACACAACACTAAACGGAAGAAGGCCCGGTTGGACATCACAAAAGAGATTCATATTATTTCACATCGAGCCTTTTGGGGGATCATCATCAACATCAAGCATCAAATGGCTATCAAGCAATCTATTTCATATCAACAACGCAGCGAACACAGTCACCCTGCTTCATTTGCTCGAAGGCAGTGTTGATGTTGTCCAAGGGCTCGCGGTGGGTGATAAATTCGTCCACCTTCAGCTCGCCGTTGAGATAATCGTCGACAAGACCGGGCAGCTGGCTGCGGCCCTTGATACCACCGAAGGCACATCCCTTCCACACACGACCGGTAACCAATTGGAAGGCTGCAGACAGTTAGCAAAGGCACAAAAAAAAGGAAGATCCAGGAAAACTTACGGCGGGTGGAGATCTCTTGACCAGCAGCGGCGACACCGATGACAATGCTCTCACCCCAGCCCTTGTGGCAGGCCTCGAGGGCAGCACGCATGACACCGACATTACCAGTGCAGTCGAAAGTGTAGTCGCAACCACCGTCGGTCATCTCAATCAGGTGCTCCTGGATGGTCTTGCCGGACAGCTTGGTAGGGTTGACGAAGTGGGTGGCACCGAACTTGCGAGCCCAAACCTCCTTGCCGTCGTTGACATCGACAGCAATGATCTTGCCAGCCTTGTTCTTGACAGCACCCTGCATGACGGACAGACCGACACAGCCAGCGCCGAAGACAGCGACATTGGAGCCCTCCTCAACCTTGGCGGTCACGACGGCAGCACCGTAGCCGGTGGTGATACCGCAACCCAGAAGGCATGAGCGGTCGGTGGTGATCTTGGGAGTAACGGCAACAACGGAGATGTCGGCGACGACGGTGTACTGGGAGAAGGTGGAGGTACCCATGAAGTGAAGCAGGTCCTTACCGCGGGCCTTGAAGCGAGAGGTGCCATCGGGCATGACACCCTTACCCTGAGTAGCACGGATCTTGCCGCACAGGTTGGTCTTGCCAGACTTGCAGAACTTGCACTCACCGCACTCGGGGGTGCTAGAGGTCGAGGTTAGTTGGGACTAATTCGCTGGCATAAATGAACGGCGAATTGGAACTTACTAGAGAGCGACGACATAGTCGCCGGGCTTGACGGAGGTCACGCCCTCGCCGACGGACTCGACGATACCAGCACCCTCGTGTCCAAGGACGATGGGGAAAGCACCCTCGGGATCCTTTCCAGACAGAGTGTAGGCATCTAATTGGAGTCAGATCTTGCTTTTCATATATATTCTTGCTGTTGTGTTTCTCTGGGAGCTTACCAGTGTGGCAGACACCGGTGTGGTGAATCTGGATGCGCACCTCGTGGGCGCGGGGAGGAGCAACCTCGATATCCTCAATGGAGAGGGGCTCAGTCGCAGCCCAGGCGACGGCGGCCTATGATATTTGTTAAACAAACAGTCGAGAGACAATGGCAGGGAAGACTTCGGAGGTGGGTGTTTAGCCCGACGCGGGGCATCCCGACGTCATCCGCGTAGCGGGGTGTGTTTTCGGATGTTTTGGCGCTTACCTTGCAAGTGATGGTCTACAAACATTGAAAGTCAGTATATAATTGCGCGATAGGAACAAGCTTCGAATTTTTGGGAGACAAAACATACCTTTCCTACTGTGCTAGCCATTGTGTTCTGACAGTCTGGGAGAGATGGTTAGGATGGGAGAGGGTGGGGGTGGAGGTGGAGGGGGAAGAACACAGATGGTAGACTCACGAGATTTGCAGATGACGGGAGAAAATGAGGGAACAAGAGGTTTTTGAATGGAAAGGTTCCCAGTGGAGCCGAGCGTCTTGGAGCTGTGAGGGGAGTGGGGGTGGGGGGAAGCGATGAGGAAGTTGAATGAGGAGTCAAACGGAAAGAGGATGAGGGGCGGCCGGGTCGGCCGGTCTCCAACGGAGAAGCACCCGCGGGTTGTCCAGCGAAGTCGGGGAGATTGTTAGTAAGTTGAACTGTTGGCTGCCTTCAACTGGTCATTTTTTAGGTCTCCCCGCAATCAGATGGTACCAGCGGACTCCTAAAAAGGTAAAGCTTTCCGCCAGAGCTGCCGATGGCAGTCTTCTCGATCTTCCAGTGGGCCGTACTAGCATGATGTCCAATCACCACCTCCAGTAGGCTTAACTAGAGTTTGATAGCATGATAGGAGAATAGGATCCTAGAATAATACTACTAGTAGTAACAGAATTTATGGTCCAAGCATATACTGTACACTGGCGAGGTTGCCGTTCTATTTTATATGTTTTGTATTTTATTAGGATCGGGAAGGGTACCGATGGAACACATATCCCCTCCCGTCCGAATCACTATGGTACATAAAAGGAGCCCAGGGGTCCAAGCAAGCTATCCCCCCCATCACACATGCATGAAATATTAATTCCTTTCGTCATGCGAAGGGGAGGCAGCTAGATAAACTTGGGCTTGACCCGGGACTCCGGAGTTGGGATTGCCCGGAAGGCACCCGGAACGTTCCCGTCCCCAGAGCAGATCTGCCCTCCGGCGCACTGTCTTCTCCCCAGTGCTCACACCCCGTCTCGGTATCCCGATGACGGTTTACCAGGTATCTTCTTTAACGGCCCTGCTGCATCATAGCGGCATTCTGTTCCTGGAAACGCTCGTTCAAGCGGGCGGATCCCTTCAGTTGCTTGTCGACGCAGCGCAGGACACATTGCTCTTCACGGTTGATGAGGGACTTGGTGGTGAAATCGTTGACACAGTCGTCGAAGCAGCGCTGAACCATCTTGGAGTACATCTGTAGATACATTAGATATGGAAACGAAGGGGAAACGCGATCGGGAGTTGGTGATTGGAGTTTTATTGACTCCGATCCGAGGGTGAGGTGGCGTTCGCGGTGCGACTGCACCTTGGGGGAAGATCAAAGATTCCATCAACGGGCGGCTCGGGGAGGATTGAACGTACGGTCATGAATTCCTTCATCTGCTTGCGCTCCATGCGGGAGGCGAACTCGCGTTGCTCGGATTGGTTGAGGCTGCAGCGTGTCATTAGCGTCGGGTCCGGGGAAAATCAAATCGATTGGCATTGCAATTGGCCATGGAGCGGAATCGATGGTTGTACATACCCGTCCATTATGTGTGATGATGAAGATGAAAGAATAAAACGTCAAGATGGGAGAATCCTTAGATGATGAGTGAAGAGACGCAGGCGCGGAGCTCCGAAGCTGGTTCTGCGGCCCGCGCAACTACGTTTATCCGGGATAGGTCACATGTGGTCATGTGACTCCCGTACGACTGCGTGGGTAATTAGAGATTGGAATGAAGGAAAGTCAGTTGGAAGGTGATTGAATGAGTCAATGACTAGATAAATCATGGCATTTATAGAATAAATGCAATATAATATTCAGAGGTGCTCACCGGGTCCTGGTACTGGTATTCTTGAATGGATATGCGTATACTCGTATAGTCCGTATCTACTCGTACTCCGTATTTGATGTGGGTTGGTACCTGAGGGTCCAGACCCTGAGTCCCAGCTATACGTAACTACTTCGAGTAACCAACTATACAAGCTATGGTATAGTTACTCATTAATTATAGTATACTAAATATGGAATATAGTGCATATTACGGAGCGAAGTCAGTATTCTCCATGATACTCAGCAAATACTATACTATACGTATAGTATACTAGTCTACTAGTCACTGTACTCACGACCGAATCCAGCGATGCCCCCCAGGGAACTTCAACCTTGGGTCAGCCATCTATTCATAGCTCTAACCCTCCTCTAATTTCCCCTGGCACCTTTTTCCTCCTCCTCTTCTTCTTCCTTCCTCCCTTCCCTTTAGCCTCAGCCTCAACGTCAGCTACTATCGCCACCCTTTCGACTCGTCTATTCGCCTCCTGCCCAATCCCCGTTCTTCACTCGGACCTCTTCCTCTTTCTCGGCCTTGTCGCATCCCTTCTCTTCCCCTTTCTCTCTTCCCTTCCTCTCCCTCCCTCTCTCTCCCTGTCATCCTCTGAAATCTCCCTTTCAGCGACCCGTGTATCTGCCTGTGTCCCTGAAATCGAATTTCTGTCTTGTTCCTGGCATCCCGTGCTTTGGGGCCCAGCCTCCTCTCCCCCAGTATTTCCCACACGAGGGCGGTGACGCAGGTGGTGTCCATCGACCCGCGATTTCATCCCCCCCCCCCCTCAACTTCGAGTCCCCTCCCAACCCAGCCACATAGTACCGCTCGTTGTTGCTCCGACTCTGGGAACACCATGGTGACCGGTAAATCGCAACCGGGCATCGAGCCGCTACAACTCCCACCAACCTCTCCCGACCCCGTCGCTTCCAACTCCCCACCCTCTCGACGAGACCTCGCTTCGTGGTGGAGACAGTTCAAACGGAATACCAGGAAAGAGGAACTGAAAGGTATGTCCCATGTCGCCAGAATCCTCCCAATGCATTGCGCCCAGTCGCGAGTCCCTCCCGTCCCTCGTGCCTCTGTGTCCCTCCGTTCTGCATCTCGCCGATCCCCAACTTTCCCCCTGAACCTCCAAGAAAATCACTCCGTGCGCGGTACCAGTGGGACCTACCCCGCGACCAT